AATATAATTTGTATATTACAATACATAAAAAATGAATTTTTTGCACCATTTATCTCTGAATTTTCAAAAAGTACACAAATTACCCTTGAAATTTAAAAATTACACCAATACCTCTTAAATTTTTAAAAAATATTGCACCAATGGTCCCTCTATGCCATATTTGAAAGTGCGTTAATCACACACCCATCTAGTGCAAACATGATCTCATCTAGAATCATATATCACACGTGAGTTTAACAATATGCCCTTTCCAATCATTATATTCTATATTTTTAACCTATTTAAACCCAAGGTAATTATTCTCGATTTGGTCATCGATAATCAAATTTAAAGGCCGGACATCAATCGATAAAGCTCGTTATCAATCGATCAACCTCTTCATTAATCCATAACATCTTCATCAAGCTCAAACTTGTATATTGCTGAGTGTGTAATTAACGTGCTCCCAAATCTGGCACAGAGGGGCCGTTGGTGTAATGTTTTTAAAAGTTCGGGAGCATTGGCGCAACTTTTAAAGTTTGGGGTAAATCCGTACAATTTTCAAAAAATTCAGGCGTAAATGTTGCAAAAATCCTAATAATAAGTACTCCCTTTGTCCCAAAAATTTCTTCCCCTTTCTTTCTTTTTCTTATCCCACAAATTCTTTCCCTTTTTTATTAAAAACCAATATTGCTCTGATTCATTATAAACCTAACTATCACATGATTCACATCATAACTTTTTACTAATAATCTATCAATCAAATTATACTTTTACCTATCACATCAAAAGTATTTTCGGAAAGTCAACACAAAAATATCTCCCTTAAATTTCATAAAAATCAAAATGGGAATATCTTTATGGGATGGTAGAAGTATTAACTAATTACTAACCACTACTCCCTCTGTCCCTTAAAATCGTTCTCATTTCTTTTTCCATACATCTCAAAACACTTTTCTCATTTTTATTAAAAAGTCGCTTTTACTCATACTAATTCTTAACCTACCTATCACATCATATCTATTCACAATTAATTTACCCATCAAATCTTATTTTACCATCACATCCAAAGACATTTTTGGAAAGTCAACACCAAAATACACTTTCCTTAAATCTCTTAAAAATTAAAGAGTAAATTCCCAAAATACTTCTTTGTAATAAGGGGTTTTCCCAAATCGATCCTCAATAAGTTTTAATTATCTACATGGTCATCTATAATTGAGATTTATTCCCAAGATAGTCCTTCGTAAATAATGTTACTCAAACGAGGATTAATTGAGGATATTTTGGTATTTTTTATTCCCTAAATTTAGAATTAATTCTTAAAATGACCATTTATAATGAAGTGTTTTCCCAAAATGATTTCTTTGTAATTAAAGATGTGCATTTAGTTTGAAATTTAAAAGATTTTTTATAAGTTTTAAATATATCATGAATTATTTATAGTCAATGTATTTTTTCAATTTTACATTTAGTTGTACAGAAGTAACTGTTTCGAGAATATACCTTAAATTTGAATCATCAAAATACCAAAATATCTTCCAATTAATCATCATTTGAGTAACATTATTTACGAAGGACTATCTTAGGAATAACTCTCAATTATAGAAGACCATGTAGGTAATTACAGATTAAAATTTATTGAAGACTGAATTGGGAAAAAACATCTTATTACAAATGACCATTTTAGAAATTTATTCAAAATTAAAAATTTTCATTATTCGAGAGACGGAGGGAATAATAAATAAGAACTTAAATAACCTATATCGCCATTATCGTGTTACATTACGGAGTATATCATACCCAAACCGAGGCTAGCTAGTTTTTTGAATCTTTCAATTCCATCTCTCTTTAAATTGGTACTCCGTACTATGCATGTGAATGGAGAATTGTATTAATATTTGGACGTGTACTCAACCCGTAGAATATGCTTCGAGAGCCATTAATTTTAGTTATGAGGTATGAAGAAGTGTTATTTTTCTCTGGTATGGTATAGTTTTAATTGGTCTCTTCTCTGCTTTGCAGTTTGCACAGTACCATAAATTCCTTTTGGGGGAGGGAGCGGATGGGCGTTGCTTAATTGACAAGGCAAGAGGTGTTAAAAAATAAAATTTGAATTTGATTCCTGATGGCTGAGGTGGTAGGTAACTATGATAAGCATATAGCCTTTGCAAGTATCAGGTGCATGCACCACTATTTTCCACCTATTTGCGGTTAAACTCTGATTTAACCGTTCGGCCAGATCTGAAAAGACCTCGGAGATGGGACTCATTTTTTTTTTGGGGGGGGGGGTGGGGGGTGGGGAATAATACTCATTGGGTCACTCCCCTATTGTTGTGCCGGCGGGATAGAGAATATGCTTTAATTTGGGCATGACCAATAGTTCCATATTTTCATCAAACAATTTTCTTTGTACATATATTTTTGGTTATGTCTAAATTATTTATTTAATTTGGATGACATCTCTGATCCATTAGCATAACTTTAAAAAAAAACATCTCATGCACAAAAATTTGGCGGTTTTTATAAAGTTATTGTTACAATTCCAAATATATTGAGCATGTTTTATAATTGTCAATAAAGAGGCATAAAATCAGACAATTTTATTGAAAGATATAAACTCCAAACCATCTGTTTGCTCTAGGATCAAAATGTGAGCAATCTTAATGCATACGGAGTAACAAATAGGGATTGAACTGCGATCAAATAAAAAATAGGGAGGTTGTTTTCAATAGTCTCTTAGCTTGGTGCATTGCTAAATTTAATGTCCAAAACTCTATGGAAAGCAAGGAGAGACAATGACTCCATGAAAGTTACAATTAGGGTTACAATCATGTTTTGGGTACACCAAGGAGTATACTCTAAATTGTATACCAAAGAAATGTCTCAATATTTCGATTGTTCAGGCAAAATATGCTAGTACAATAAAAAAGAGAAAAGTGCATGGATTACCCCCGAACTTCTTCGAAAGTGCATGATTTAGGCTCCGTTCCATTCAACTTATTTTTTCTGATCTGATCTGATTTTTTGTAGTTCTGATCTGATCTGATCGGATCGGATCTGATCTGATCAGATTGGATCTGATCTGGTCTGATCTGATTAATTATGATTTGATTTAAAATTCAAATCAATAATTTGATTTGACTTTATAATAACGTTTGAAAATTGAAATGATAATTAATACTCCCTCCGTCCCGAAATAGATTACAATATTCTCTCACATTTTTGTCTCAAAAAGGATTACAAAGTCAATAACTTTATAGTAAATTGACTCTTTTACCCTCCCCTTTTCTTTTCTGTCAGCCACTATTCACACTATTCATCCATGTGAGTGGGAAGGATATTTGGGGGATTTGGGGGGTAATTTGGGGAAATTTTTTTTTGATTTGACTCTTCCTTAATTTCAACTAAAAGGGATATTGCAATCTAAAGTGGGATGGAGGGAGTATTATAATATAATCAATATTTTTTATTTTATGTTTTTTTTATAAAATAAAATTACTTAATTCATATATTAGAATAATCATTCATATTATAATACAATAATATTTTTTATTTTATGATTTTTTTGTGAAATTAGAATATTAATTTAATATTTTATTAATTACTTCATATATACATATATATACATTAGAATAAATATTTAATACACACACACACACACTAAAAAGTAATTAAATTTAGATAATCACAATATAGAAGAGATTGTATTTTTATTAAAATATCTCATCCTTATAAAAGATCAAAACTTTATAAACTCAAATTACAAGTAGTAATAAAAATATATTTTAAAAGTAGAATTAGATCCGAAGTGCGTTTCTCCCACGCACCAAAATTGCGTTTCTCCCTTCGTAATTCTCGAAATTACCCTCCCAAATTTATCTTCTTGATTTAGCCAAGAAGTTGCCCTTTTCAATCTATTTTCCAAAGGGTAATTTCGATCTATTTTCTTCTTGATTAATTTTCCAAAGGGTGCAATGGAGAATTGTAAATCGGCAGGTTTGTTAATCGTTGGGAGGGTAATTTTCGATCTATTTTACAAATCGTTAGGAGTGGTAATTTCCAAAAATTAATTTACAAATTGAAATTACCCTTTGATTTCCTCTCTGATTCACATTGGCCTAGAATTCTCGAAATTATCCGACCTTTTGAATCAACTAACATATAACATCGACCCTTTGGAATTCTCGAAATTCTCCACAAAAAAAGAAGCAAAACAAATTACCTCATGCGACCGGCTTTCACTCGAGAAGTCGTGTGGTTATTATTGAAATTGGAACGAATAGCTTGTGTGTACGGAGTATAAACGAGGGAAAGGGTATTTTAATATTTACAATTGCTTTTTACAATTCATTTTTACGAAAAGAGAAAAGGGGGCACGTGTGCAATAGTTTGCATATTTGAGGGGTGATTGGTGCATTTCTTATTCTTTAGGGGTAAATTGTGCACTTTCGAAGAAGTTCGGGGGCAACCCATGCACTTTTCTCCGATAAAAAAATTGCACTAACATTTTGTCTATGTGAACCATCACACTAGCACAAAATAAAGGACTATCCGTGAAAAGATACTCATAAAAGAAGGGTCGCAAACGTAATATTTGATAATAGAAGACTAAATATAGAAAATCCCTTGTTGTAAAGAACCAATTACATCAAAAATTCTACGTAATAAGATGTGACAAAACTATTTTATTTTATCAAATGAGTAATAACGAAAATAAGCAAAGGAAGCAGATGAAGCTTGATCTTATGAGTAGTAAGTGTGAAGTTTTTTTGGGTTTTTTTGGGAGGGGGGGGGGGAGGATATTGTTTTTTAATTTAATTTTTGAAATGCATGTGTTGCTATTATAGTGTTACTTTGAGAAGTGAACAAAAAATCTGGATATCTCACTGCATGTAAAGTAGAGTCAAGGCTAGAGATATTTATCATCTTTAGTATCTGTTACATATACTTTCCATCCCATTCTATGGTTACCAACTATGTTCATAAAGAAGAAAAGGACAAGTTTTAGGTGGACATACCAACTGCAGGTCTTCTAGAAGGGTTCTCTTTTGAGTCATTTCTACCATCAAAGCTCTCCTTATCCTGCTGCTGCTGTGTAGCCCAGTATATCCACCTTTCTTTATCACCTATCTCCTCTCTCTCTCTCTCTATATATATATACCATATATTTATATATGTGTATATTTGTCCACTCTTAGTGTCTACCTGCCCCTATTATGTGTGTCCATTTCATTACAGAGCAGGTCAACTACTGGGTGGTATGGATCTCACTATGGTCCACCAACCCAATAGCTCTCTTCCACATTTAGCTTTACCTGTGGAATTTGTGTTCTAAAACATCTTTTCCCAAATGGAGCCTGTTTTCGATAAACAATGTGCAGTTGTATTTTCCACGCCTGCGGTTTAAATTCCTGGGGGTGTATATGGACATATTATTTGCTAAAGAACTGTATTTGTGGTAGAAAATTTTGTCGTTGAAAAAGGGGCGATAAACCAAGACTGCACACTTGATTACAACTTACAAGAATTGGGTTGTTGTGATGGCCTCCTAAAAGTGTTCTTTGTGGAATTCGAACCTCGTTGGTCCCCTTTGGTTGTACTCTTTGCAAAGTTGGCTGAGTTCTTTGGCCAATACGGGCGCACCGCAGTAAAAGACTCCTGCTCCAAACAATAGAGTGTCTCAAAAACAAAATGAAGGATATTTAATCTCAACTCCATAGGGGTCTAGAGAAGCACAACCCCGTAAAAACTAGAGAGGCTGTTTACGTTAGACCCTTGATGCATAACACTCATTAACTACCCAAACATCATTGAAAATAAGAAACAAATTAAGTTTAACGTGTTAGTTTGATTTAGCCCACTATTTACCAAAAGGCAAACATTGTCAATAATTTCTCTTTTAACTTTATTGGCAACGACCATTATATTGACGCATTACTATATAACAGCCCAAACATCATCAAAAATAAAAAGTGGATGAAGTTTAATTTGTCTTTTTTATTTATTTAGTCTATTATTTACCAAAATCTAAAACATTATCAATAATGATTATTTTAGCTCTGTTGGCAATTTTCCATCATCTCCGATGGAGCCAAAATTTCACCATTTTTTGGTTTTGGGGTGTGATGGAATAAATCAAAATGGATCTCTAAACTGTCTGCGCTTTTTTAATTAATGAAGTAGCAGTTAGTCAAGCAATGCAATTTTCGACGTTGAGCCGGGGGTCTCTTTGGAAACAGCCTCTCTACTTTCGAGTAGGGGCAAGGTCTGCGTACACACACCCTCCCCAGACCCTACTCTTGTGGGATTTAACTGGGTTGTTGTTGTTGTTGTTGTTGTTGTAGCTCTGTTGGCAATGTGCTGTAAGCAATAGACTGTCTCATTGATAATTATCATCAGTTTATTGGTTGAAAATGATAGGCTACCTATTCTGGCATTAGCATGCTTGGTGCATGTCTTGGAAAAGACTTTCTTCCAATTTGGCCTTGCGAAGTGAGTTCGTACCTGTAATAAACGTTACAGGCTTCTGGTTAGGGACAATTTATATTTTATACTATAAAAATAGGGGTCCCTTGGAAAAGCCTCTCTACTTTCGAGTAGGGGTAAGATCTGCATACACACACCCTCTCTAGACCCTACACTTGTGGGATCCAACTCGGTTGTTGTTGTACTATAAAAGAGTGGAATATAATTTGCTTGTGAACAGTGCTTACTCTAGTTCCAGATACAATATCAACACCGTTTTTGGCATGGTTAAGAGCCTGAACCATGGTAATGAGCGCTGAACGTGCATCTCCTTCTTCATATACACTTGTCAAGTAGTTGTGCATCTCAATGACCCCCTTAATTTCATTAAGATTAAGATATAATTGCATTTTAAGAAAACGAATACATCGGAGAATCATATGGATCTATATAATTTGGTGCATCAGATTACCCTTTGATCAAGATCCGCGACTTCATTCATAACACCTTTGAACCAATCAAAAGAGCCTTGTTCCCTTGTCACCCAATAGAAATATGCATTGGTAGTCCTCAGAGTCTTCTTCTGTCTTGAACAAATCTTGTTGGAGGACTGCTGTTCACTTGATCCAACACTTAGATCTGAGTTCCTGCTTAAATCTGAGGCTGAATCCTGAAGTGCACATGACAGTAACATATAGTAATTAGCGGGCTAGTGGCATCTGCATTATGTTCATTATCCCACACAAATGACTCACTGTTTCCTCCTCCCATTTGATTATGTTGTTGAGTAAGTCTTTCAGGATACTTATGAAGGGTGTTGCTCCAATGCCAAGGCCAACCAGCAATAGAACATCATATTTTTGGTAGTCTTGTGCTGGAGCACCATACGGTCCATCTATTAACAGCTTCGGTAAACTGAGATTTTACAAAGTGTCAGTTAAGTAATCAGTGACATAACTATTTGCAAAGATACTCCAATTAGCGTCGAACCTTTTCTTAGTTGTTTCATCAGCTCTCAGAAGACCACTCTTTCCAACCTGCGGACACTCACAAGCTTCAGAGAATACGCGCTTAAGTTCTTGTGTCCAGTCTCCCAACTGTCTGATGTGAACACTTAGATAGTCATCCCTGGGAGCTGAGGTAATGGAAAATGGATGCCTGAATAATTTGGGGATAATTAGCAATAGCGTTGAAATCCAAGAACGAATCAGTCATTTTTGTATCATGACAGGCGTGGAGTTCTAATGCATAGTTCTGTCTGAAAAATATGTAATGTAAAATAGATGACTTTAAATGGCATTTACCATTCAAATGGAGAAACATCCGGACACTGGACAAATATGTATTGCCCACTTTTGTAGTGAAATTGGGAAGGTTTAGACATTTGCAGTGTAAGCACATTTCCAGGGTAAATTGCCACCTGAATTACAAATGAAGATTCCAATTGAGTCGCTTATCATTTCTCAGGCAAGAAAAGAAATCCAGGATGGATGCAACCGATGAAGTATATAAATAATTCATACTCACTTTCAAAAGCCGGACAGAGTATAAGCCTGACCTGAAGAATCTCAGGCATCGTTCACCAGCATATAGGAGCACAGGAACTGCAAGATACATCCATGTCTGCAAACAAAAAAGTCCAGACTGAAAGAAAAACTTTTTTGCTTGGTTCGCCTAGGCTATGTTTGGAACTTGGAAAATACACAAGAATTAACGAAAAGAAAAAAAACACTGGATCCCACGAAAGTAGGGTCTGGGCAAAAGAAGAAAAAAAACAAGGATAAGAATTCTATGTTTGGTTATACCAAAGAAAATATGAATGCAAATAGATTTTGAGTAAATGATTCTAAATACATTTAGAATTCTATTTCTTTTCCAAACATTTTCCGGATTCCATACAGGCTTTGAACTCCAAGTGCTCAAAGAATAGGATAAATGATTTTACAGAAACTATACCGTTTTCTTGTACCATTTGTGGACAAGATAGAGGAACATGCCATGGACGATGAGCAGAATGTAGACAATGACAAAGAGGTGGTGCGAGTACCAGAATGCATTGAATCCAGTTAGTCTATCCAAAGGTTTGGGGAGTTTAATGAGGCCTCTCCTGAACCATCTTGTTGCAAGGATGAAAGCAATAGACATCAAGATTACCATCAGTATTCCAGTCACCCCTACAACTCCTTTAACGAGGACTGCATAATTGGGTTTATCATGGCCAAAATCATCTGCCAGAAGCTGCTTATACAGTGTATCTGGTTCGTTGATAAGCCTCGGGAAATCACACGCAAGATGGTTTCCAGCATGAAGTATGATACCAAAGACAATTCCTGCTGCTATGGTCTGCAAACATCCATAGGGACATCATTCATTGAAGTAGAGTTATGGTCATTCCAATGTCCAAGCTAAGAAATCTCTTTAGCTATTCACCGGTACTGAAATGCTCTTTAAGAAATCTATCTAAATACAGACTAAAACATGAAACTTATACAAAAATTAGACCTCGTATGTGTTTATGCCCTAAATAGGAGTGCTGTGAAAGACCCACAGTGTTTGGCATTACAAGTCCTATTTTGGTATAAAAATATTGAAGTTCCTATTTTGGTATATGCATCATGTTTTAGTCCTCGTTAGGTACTTTAATTTTCCTTATTCTTTTTTTCATTGAGTTCATGGCAAATTATTAGCCACATTTATTGGGGGCCGACATTGAGATTTTGGTTGCCAAAGTTAAAAGATAAGCCCTTGCAAGCTTCCGTTTTCCAGTGTTTGGGTGACACTCCAAATACATTTCAAATAGGCAGAAGCAGAAGCAGTTTCCAAGCTCAATGAGGGTATTTGCCATTATCTAAGCTATATTCACGCGAGATGAGTAAATGATAATTTTGGGGTGTACATGTTAACAAGTGCCAATATAAATTTCAGATATGGTATGTAGCATGTAATATGTACCTTATGGAAGTTGATGCTGTCGTCGAAGGGTATCACACGGTTCAGTCTGGTGGACCTCATCCAAGTTATGGTGTTCCTGCACACTGGGAGTAAGACGAGTGCCATGTTGAACTTCAGAGTCTCAGCTGCGCCCTTAGCGGTAAGGACACAATAGCCCATGACCATGTATGCACTCTTTTGCTTGTACTGAAAAAATTTCCATAGGAACAAGCCGATCAATATCAAGAGCCATAGCGTGACCACCCATGCTCTCTTCCAGTTCTCTTGAAAGAAATAGACGAGTTTCGTGCCCAGCCTTGTTATTGAGTTCTTCTTTCTCAAACCAGCCTGAAGGTTTTGGCTCAGGGCTTGGCTCGTGTAGCTCAGCGCTTGGCTGTAATTCAGGTATGTGTCCTTCTGTAGAAGTAGTGTTTCCAGCTGCCATAGCTGCAGCACCATTTTAACAATGTAAACCAATTACAACATGCATGCAATTAGGATATCTTGTACATGTAACAATTAGTTTATTTAATTCCAAGAGGTTGTGCTAAGATTATTTTCAATCTCATCTATTCCCTATGTACCAAAATATTAGTAATGCACTTTAATTCGTGCCAAAATGAAATTCACGTTTTGCCTGGGTTTAATTATTGAAAATAATTTATGTTAGTTATGTTCTCAACTTATTAGAAATGCTAGAATAAAAAACAAAGAGTTCGCAAAATTCACAAACTTGACTTTTGTGAATTTTAATTTTAAATATTCTAAATTGTTTGAGTGCTACTTGATCCTAACGAGAATTTAATATTGTAAATTTGTGTCTTTTGTGTATTCATTTGTTTGTGATTCTTGCATTTCTCTTCTTATCTTAGGAATCTTTACATTCCCTTCAACAACAAAATGAATGTTAACATTGAAAATAGTACAAATTAGCTTCTTTTATTCAAGTACAACTATTCTTCCCGGCCTACACGTTTTTTGCTTTTTAAACAAATATAAGCTCTCAAAGTGAATTTTTACCCCCCAACGCCCCCCTTAAATTGCAGTCCTTTTTCTTTTTAGTCCTTCCCAAAAGATGTCCCATAACACTTTTGTAAGTATCACTTTCTCATATTCCAAAATGAGTGGGACATACGTAGTATTCAACAGGAGTGTTTCTTTTTTTGGGAGGGAGAAAAAGTGTAAAACACTAAAACACATCCATAAACGCAACATTAATTGTACTCTCTAACTAGTCAGTGTTTGTACATTAATAATAGAATTAATAACTTTCATACATCAAGTCAGTGTTTCATTTTCTAAAGGAAATACATCAAGTCACCATCCCTCTCACTTAACTTTTCTTTCCCTCTAAAAAAGAAATACACATTTCATTTAGGAAAAGAAATACTCCCACTTCCTAAAAAAACTATTTTCACTTTTTATGGACGTCCAAAAACATTTTACAATTTATTTCATTTTTAGTCATGAACTTGTTGCTCACATATTTCACGAGTTTTTTTCACCATTTACCCCTGAATTTTTCAAAAATTGCACCGATTCCCCATGAACTAAAAGAATTGCACCAATGCACCCTAAACTTTAAAATATGTCGCACCAATGGTCTCTCTATGACAAACTTGGGAATGCGTTAATCATACACTCATCCAGTGCAAGTATAGATTCATCAAAAGTCATATATCACACGTGAATTCTGTAATATGTCCTTCCCAAACATTATTTGCTATATTTTTAACCACATTTAACCTTAGATAATTATTCTCGATTTAGTCACCGGATACTGAATTTGAAGGCCGAATATCAGTCAACAAGGCTCATCATCAATCGATCAACCTTTTCATCAATCCATGACACCTTCATCAAGCTCCAACACATATATTGATAAGCATGTGCTTAACGCACTTCTAAATCTAGTACAGAGGGACCATTGGTGCTTCATTTTTAAAAGTTCAGAGGGCATTGGTGCAATTTTTAAAGTTCGAGGGGAATCCGTGCACTTTTTGATAAATTTCGGGGCAAATGGCGCAAAAAACTCCATATTTCACCTTTATCTAAACAAACTCTAACCATACACTTTTTTCAACATTTTTCTTAAACTTTACGAAAGTTAAACCGTAAATGGTTTTGGGACGGAGGTGGTAGTAAGTGATTCATATTAATTCTCCTTCATCTTCATTTGCATAAACTTTCATTGTCCAATTTCATTTTTTTTAACTCTGTTGAATGAGCCAGGCTTTGTAAAAAATCTAAAAAATGTAAAGTACCCACAGGTCACATGTCAAAATAACATTTCAATGATTTTAATTTCTAGGTGGGCTGATCGACGAGCTCCTCAAGCTTCCTAAAATTTGCCTGTTTTTTCTTTGGATCCTTAAACAACATACACCGTGTTACAGGTTGTCTGCACCCCACATGGATTTTGAGAGCTAAAGTCTGACATCATAAATTTGTTGCAACTACGTACAGTACTTAAGTAGAGGTTAAGTCCACAACCAATCTAAAGAAACATCATAAATATAGAAGAAATTGGCCGGTTTGACTGATGAAATCCCTAAAATTAATTGTTCCAACTGGCCCCTACACTTCAAAAATCAAAATCTATGTCAGCCTATTGCTTTCCTAATTTACTACTCTCTCTGTCCCAAAACATCATTGTTTTGGGATATAATTATCAAGTTACTCCAAGATTTGAACTAATTATCTATTGACTGGTCAAATAAGGACACTAATTTTGAAATGGAGGGTATGCATATCAGCATATGCTATGATATGATAATGGGGCATGCTAGGGGTACACCAAAATGGAGTACCCCATTTGTATACTAGACAAACACTGATCCTCAGATACTAAGTGCCTGTATTTACCTGGTATACAAATGGTGTATCTCAATTATTCTATGATAGTAAAACGGGTATGGAAAAGAGAGAAGAGGCCTATGGTAGCTATGAACCTCAATGTAGCCAAGTCTTTCAGGGTCCAGCTCTTCCATGATCAAAGCAGCGTACTCCCCTGCTTGTTCTTTCAGTCTCGATAGTTTATTTGCCGAAGCACTAAGCATTATGATCTGTGCATTATGATCTGGTTAATTAATATCATCATTTTAGATAAATACAAAGAACATAGTGTGTGTCACGGGGGTTCGCAGCTTTGTTATGTCAACATCTAATAATACCAAGCCCACGAAAAATATGATTTAGGGAGGAGGTGTGTAGGAAAACTTTATCAAAGAGATTGTTTCAAGACATCCAAACTCGAGCATAGTCAACGTACGGAGTATTATTTTTCAATAACTTTTTAACGCTGAAGCTAAACTTTGTAGTTGGATAGTCTTTTCGAAAGACTAACGCTGAACGTTGAAGCTATTGCCAAACGAGCCTTATTATTGTCCTATTACGGATAACGAGGGTTAACTTTATTTTTATTTATTTAAATAATCATACAAAATATCAAAATAAAATTACTACGCATGTTTTTAAAGAAAAGCTACATCAAATGTTATATAAAACATAAGGAGACGTGATTATGTTATTTTAATTTTTAACAAATGATAATGAAAATAAATAATAAAAAGAAAAATTTGACCAGTAAATAATAGAGTAGGACGATTAATTCGGGATGAATGGGTTGTTTACCAACAAAGAAGATAAAAAATGCTAATTAAAAGAAAGAAAAAAAAAATGCTCTCCAGCAAATAGTCTCTCTACTCTTGAGTAAAGATTTATCCTTCCCCACTCCACTTTATTTTTATGGGATTTTATTGAGTTGTTGTGAAAAAAATGATGCTATACTCTTTTTATTTCAATTATGGATTTTTTAAATAGTAAAACTCCGTATATTTAATTCTCTGTATCATACGGAGTAAAAAAAAACATGAACACGACACAAAGAGCTGACAGAGATAGATATATGCCTCACCAATTCTACCGAAAATGACAACTTTAATTTTCTTTTTGGTAAGACCGAGTATTACAATTGGCACTTTATAGGAACCGTTGTCAGATTCATACGAAAATTAAAGTCACAAAACAATGAGCACAAAATGCATAAAGATATCATTTGGGTATTTAAATTTCTATTTTTTATTCCGTAGATACATAAAATCATTTTATTTTTTGGTGAGATGCATAAATAATAAAATTGTGTATTTTGTAACATTCGTATTTGTGAGTGCATTTCTCTCACTTTATTATACTAATACTGATATGATCTTCTATGAATTATTACTCCCACAATCTAATTTTGTTTTCATTTGGTTTGTCTTGGTCAAACTTTATAAATTTTGACTCTGATACATGGAAAAAATACAATGTGTTTTTATATGAATATAAATTAATAGGTTAATTTGAAATGTCATTCTAAAACATTGATTTTTTATGTAATATATTGATGTATAAATATAAATATTAATGTTCAAAGTCTAACACTGAAGACGTGAAAAGTTAAATGAAAAAAAAAAATTCAAGAAAAAGGGAATAACATTTTTTAGAATACTAAATTGGCCAAAAACATTGTGTCTGTATAACTCTATATATTTCAAATGAAAATTTTCGAAAAGTTTTGAATTCGAACCTCAATAGAGGTATTTTATACGGAGTGCTTCAATAAAAAGTATTGTGAAAGTCAACCAAAAAATTAAGCTAATGATAGAGGTCCATAAAATTTTGTTATTGTAACATATAGTCCTGAATAATATTCTTACATGATTAAATTTTCAACACAACCCAAAGGTCTAACTAACCCACCCATGAGATGTTTAATTATTACTCCTTCCATTTTTTAAACGCTTCTTTTTTTGCTTTTTTATTCTACCAAAACACTTTCATTTCCTATTAAAAAACTACTTACCTTTACTTTTTTTCTCATCATAACTACCACTTCATATTTTTTCACTAATAATGTAGATATCACGTCATACTTTTACACATTACATCAAAGACAAAATTAAAAAATCAACTACAAACATACATTCTTTTATTTTACTCGTTAGTCAAAATAGAAACTAGTTTTAGAAACTAAGGGAGTAGTATGAGTTGATAATGAGATCGATTGCATCATAGTGAGTATTCAGTAGGTAATAATGCGGAGCTGTTGGCTTTCCACTAATTTAGCCACCTAATCAACATTGATCATGCCAAAACTAATACGCCCAATATATCGCGCATACACACAATTGAATAGCGATTCTTCAAAATTCAAATTGTGTTGGTATTTTATTAGGGGCCTGTTTGGGAATAGCGTTAGCGATTAACGTTAGCGTTTTGAAAAGGCTATTTACGGGCAGCGTTTAGCATTAGTGTTTTCAAATTAATCTGCACCGTCAAAATTTTATCCAAAACGCTAACGTTAATCTCTAACACTATTCCCAAATAGGCCCTAGTTCAGTGCAAAACTTATACGGACTAGGGAGTACTTAGTACTAATATTGATGTGTAAGTGGTTTGATTTCGCTCTTTTTGCGTCGGCATTGAATTATTTGGGTTGGATAATTCATTTCAAGTCTTTCTTAAGGCCATTCCAAGTTTCTTTTGGCAAGTATGTATATATATACTTAAAAGTAAAATAATGGAACGCATAAAACAGAGAGGTACGCGATTATTATATTTACCTCTTTCACTTCTTTTTCAGTAATTCGACCATCTTCATTCTTGTCCACCCTGTCAACCATCACCAAAAATATAATGAAAGATCAATAACTTTAACATAACCAAGAATCGAAGTCTGTTGGTTTTAACGCTAGTAAAAGCATCTCATTGGTGGTGTTTAAAATGAGAGTAATTAATGATGTGTTTGTGTATTTTGTGAGTGTTTTGTTTGTGACTCTAGCATTACTCTTAAAATCATGAATGAATGAATGCGAGATGTCATTTAATAAGTTGTGGATGATTGATTAATGAAGAGATCGAGATTGTCAAACATCCATCCCATTCGATGCAATTAATAGTGGAGCTTATTAATTTTAATATTTATTATATTCATTTAAAATATTGGATTTATATTATTTAATTTCAAAATATTTTTATATTTTATTTAAATAAAATATTGAATTTTTTAATATTTTATTTCAAAATATTAAAATTTTTACTTAATTAAAATATTTTTGTAATTTTCTTCTCTAATTTTATTCTTCTAAACATAGATTTATATAATTAGTAAAAACTTAATCTCATATTTTAAATAAAGTTTTATTTAAAATATAAAATAAAATAGAATAAAGTGGGACACGCAAATGATAAATGAAGCAGATGGATGGTTGAAATGGATTGTGAGTACTTTGTCCGTCCAAAAATAGTTTTGTAAATCTTTTCATGTAGTTTTTTAATGTGTAATTTTTATTTTTTAATTTCATACTATTTTTTATATAATATGATTTGAAAATATCTTGAGTCAAACATTGTAACGCGTAACAAAATTAGAGATGATGTAGATGAGTAAAAATAATTGGACGGATGAATTTTAAAATAAGAGATGAAGATGCTCTAATACTTCTTCTATCCCTAAGACTATCTCCAATAGGAATTGATGTACAGAGATCCAAATTGAATTTAAAAAAGAGAACAAAATAAAACACAAAAGAAAAGCAAATGTGTACAATCTCTGTCCTCGGATTCTACTCTCTATTAGCTTTTGTTACAAGTATATTTAGGAAGCATGCTATATGTACCCAAAACTATGTACCAACATTTTGATGGTTCACAATGATACAAAGTATTGGTGCGTTAACGAATATTTATACCGACATAAAATGTTGGTGCGTTAACAAAAATTAGCATTACATCAACACAAAATGTTGGTGCATTCTTATGATGTACAAAATGAGATACATATTATTGGGTATAAATAGAATTATCCTTTTACCATGTCTAAACCCCATAAAGAAAACCTCCTAAATATGAGTAAATCATTAACTATATACCCAAAATAGGAGTTCATAACTTATATACCCAAAATAGGAGTAATTAATTAAGCCCCCAACTCCTTATCCGATCCTTAGATCTGCTCCCTTCTCTCGTTCCCTTTCGATCCTTCTCTGCCATTGTTCGTTCCTTCGACTCCCACCGTCACCGCAGCCCCTTATCGCGATCTCCGCCGCCCACCTCCTTTACCTCCGCCATCTAATTCTAGTACCATCATCGCTGCTACCTCGACCCCTCTCAGACTCATACCCTACCCCCATCGTTCTCTCTCAAAGCCTTGATTTCAAGAATGATCGGGTTCTCTCTCGATCTTTAATTAAATTTTATTTTCCCTCCCTCAAAGCCTGATTTCAAAAGTAAGTAAGTTCTCTCTCGATCTTTGGTTTAATTTTATTTTCTTTAAATTTTGTCACCAAAAAATCGAGCAGTGGATGGGATTTGGTTTGGCGTCATGTCTTGTGACATTTGTGAATTTACATTGTGGCATTATATGTGGGCATTTGTAGCATTATATATTGTCATGTATGACATTATATGGTGGCATGTTTGCCATTATGCATTTCTTTGGTATTAGATATTGTCATGGATGATATTATGTGGTGTCATTTTTGTCATTATACACTTATTTGGCATTAGATTCGGTTTGGCATTATGCTCCTGAGTTCATATTGTGGCATTATGTATTGTCATGTATGGTATTATGTGATGTCATGTTTGTCTTTCTGTAAAATTATATTGATAATTAATGAAGAATGTGACAATAATTATGCAAATTGTAATGCAAGTATCTTAAATGCATATGTGACCATATCACGTGTGAAATCACAAGCATAATGCCAAACATCTATGACCTCCGTCTTAAAATTAACTTCTCATTTGACTTTTCACGGTCTCCAATGCAACACTTTGACCATTAATATCTCCATTTTTATATGAATATATATTATAAAAATAATATATTTCAAAACTATGTTTCATAATGAATCTATTGACAATAAATTTATATGAAAATTCAATATATATTTTTTGTAATATACAGTCAAAGTTTAAAAAATTTGACTATAAAAAAATCAAAATGAGAAATTAATTTTAAGACGGAGGGAGTATTATTCTTCGAAAGTGAATCCACAAGTATTTGCTTTCGAAGAACAGGAACTAAATATGGTTAAAATAATTTTGACTAAACAGGGCTTGAAGAAGTAGGCAGAGCGCAAAATGAGAAGTCATGTAGTAGTTAACATTTGGGCTGAAAAGTCTGTGGTCTCTTGGTCCAAAGAATGTTGGGAGCATTCGGCCAAGGTATATAGGTCATGCTAAGACTTCAATTTTGATTTCTTTTACCGGTAAAATTCACACACAAACAAAGTTTCTAAAGAGATCTTTCAACTCCTATTTTAGGGATATTATCTTTCAACTCTTATTTTGGAGTTTAATCAATGTTTTACTCCTATTTTGGTCCTTAACCCAACCCCATATTCGGGAATCGGGATAGTAAAAAAACATTTCATTTACAAAATACAATTCCATTATCACCTTTATTTGTCCAGTCGTTGTTGAAGTTATAAAATAATAAAATAATACAATAATGCAAACTTTTGTTTTGTACCGAATAAAATTTTTAATGTAATTTTTAAATACATAAATATTACTCCGTCCGTCCTAAAATATTTTTTCCAGTAACTTTTTACATGGTCAAATTTTAATCACTTTCTTTACTTATTTTCATTGTGTATTTGATAAAATAATATAGTCTTGTCACCACTTGTTTTGTAAAACTTTTGATGTAGTTTTTAAATATATATATTTTATTTTTTAATTTTACACCTACAATCAAATAAATTGAATTGAAAATAAAATCGATCAAACCTCGTAAACAGAAACGGAAAGAACATTATAGGATGGAGGAAGTACATATGTTTAATACAAACATTCCATTTACGAAATACTCTTCCATTCCATTATTTTTCTTACTCTATAGTCTATAGTTAGTCATATTTGTGTGATTCACAATTATTTTTACTTTTTAACATCAATGTTAACGGCACAAATTTACTCTTCATCCACAAAATCTTTCTACACTTTTGCATAAAAAGTAGATAATTTGACAACAAATTACATTAATGCTAATTTAATGTAATCGAGTTCATTTTAAGATGTAGTTAATTTTATGCACTAATGGTCAAAATGCATAAAAAGTTGGCCAAAAAAACAAAATTTGAAAACATATTTCCCAACGGAGAGTAATAATAAAGTTACTAATTGTGTGCTAAAAAATTAATAATATTAATTATTCATTCAAGGAAAAAATAATACTCGGTATTAATTATAATATCCTGTAAAATGTAAACAGTAGCATGTAATTAACTTACATGTCGAAAAAGATTTGGAGGCGGGAGTCGAAGCTTTGATCGGTGAATTGGGACCAATACTCGTAAAGCTCATCTTTACAAATCTTATCCACCTTTAATCTTCTTCTTCTGCTCAAAGCATCAAACATTTCCAGTGCAAATTCCATGGACTCCTTCATTCCTTCATCAATCAAACAGCTTCAATTCATTGATTTTTTTTTAATTAAATCTATTTCTCGAATTAACAAGTTTAATCAACTCTAACGAACGATCCGCTGCGGAATTGTTGGGTAAAGGTAACTGACCGATGCATTGTGCGAAATCGGCGCGGTGGAGATAACCGTCTTTTGCCAGCTTGTGGAAGCTGTTCTCAACTTCGTTCCACGCATTGGCGTTGTTGTGGCTGATGAATCTGAGCCCGCGAAGCGCCTTTTGCGCGCCGGACTGTGTGCGGTCGAGCTGAGCCCGCTGCCGGCGCAATTGCCGCGCCGCTAGAGCCGAGTTAGATCCGCCGGGCGCCGCCGATGAGAAAGCACGCGAAGTCGCCGCCGCAGCAGCAGCAGCTCCGTGACTGCTCCACGAGAGCTTCTTCAGCTCCTGCGAAAACTGTCTGGCCTTCGCGACCGCCTCTGCTTTCAGCTCCTGCGAAAACTGGCGGATCCTGTTCGAAGAGCTCCGCCGCATGGTCTCCGATCGCGACGCCGCAGGCGAAGCCGGAGTTTCGTCCGCCATCCCTCCGCCGCCGCAGCCTCCGATGATTTCATCAATGCGAATCGCAGTTGCCGATTCGACGCTCCTCATAATCACGGTATCGTCATCCTGAAGGTCGAGCGTGACCTCAACGTACTCCTCCTCCCCGGCGGAACTCTCCGGCAAGCGTTCTCCGATTACGGGGACCGAGTCCGGCGCCCACTCGCGCTCGTAATCTGCAATTCCCTTCATTTAATGTTAACAAATCAATTATAGGCACATGAAAATGCGGTCCGGCTAATAGAAGAGAAGAAGAAGATCAGAGAGAAGAGAGGAATCTGTCGCGGCCGTAGGCGATCGGAATCGAACAAGAGAGAGTGACCTAAGCGGAGTGTTTGCAGAGAGATTCACGGTTTAAGAGAGAGAGAGAGAGAGCGAAAAAGGGCATCTGCAGAGAGAGAGAAAGAGGGAGACGAAAGGGAAAATGGAATTTGGAAAGGGTGAAAACAGAATTTGGAAGAGGGTGGCTCATGGAGTAGCCATGGTTTTATTTTATTTTCTTCTCCTTGCTTTTCTTATCCATAATTCCGCATTATGTACAACATTTAGACATTTGCTCAAATGTTGCAATTACCGGAAGACAGATTATGAACATAAAACAATGTCTTACTGGCTCCAGCATGTAATTTTTGGTTTGTGGTGTACATGTTATATTTCATATGATTTCCAAATTAATTTGTGACTTCTCATATACATTATTAAATTTGTACGTGATGTTTTAATTTTTTAAATTCTATTTTCTTTATACAACAATATCATATTTTAATATTTACAAAATATTTTAAACCAAATTAGCGATTATTTTTTGAATATTTCTCTTTATTGTAATTTAAAAGGCAACGTTTCTTATGTATTTGAATTTTAAAATATCTACAATCTTTTGGATTTATAATTTTCATAGTTAAATAAACATGATGTTGCATAAACATCTTTCATAAAAGATATTTAGATAACTTATAAAAACTCATTACGCTTATCAATAATACTCGACAATGATGATGATCGTAGTAGTAGTAATAATAATACGTATTTTTCAAATTTAAATTTTAAAAAAAATTTATAATAAATATTTAAAAATATATTATAGACAATTATTAAAATTCTATTGCTACTTATGTTTAAAATATGAAGTATCTTATAAATTATAAATTTTTTCAAATGCTAAAATTAAAAGTAAAATCTTATTGAAAGCACAACTTAAAAATAAAATTAAAATATTCTCCATAAAATATCCTCTGTATTTTCATTACAACAAAAAAATTTGACTTATGTGTTAAATACAAAGATAATCAAATATTAGATAAATTACGAGTCAATTTGGAAGCATATGGAATATGACATGTGCACCAGAAAGCTAAGTAGGACGCCAGGTCTACGCTCGCCGGCCGGATTCTTGAAATTCCACAAAAGGATACCTTTTTGTTACATTTTTTAAAGATATGATACTTTTTCGTTACAAGTTGAAGATGAGATACTTTTTTGTTACAAGGTGCAAAGATGAGGTACCTCCTATAAAAAAAATCCCCCTCCGTCTTAAAACATTCTTCTTAGTTACTATTCACATGATTAAACTTTAATCACTTTTTTACCTATTCTTGTTAATTATTTGATAAAATAATATAATCTTGTAACCTCTTGTTTTGTAAAACTTTTAATTTAATTTTTAAATATATAAATTTTATTTTTAAATTTTACATATATAATCAAATAAATTGAATTAAAAAACAGAGTGGATAAAACTTCGTAAACAGAAATAGGAAGAATATTTTAGAACGGAAGAAGACAGGAAGTATTTATTTATTTTACCAATTACTCAAAATGCACACATTTGAAAACCATTCATTACGTTTTTTATGAAAACAAACAGTTGACATAAACACATTTATTTTTTATTTTTTGGAAAAACATAAACAAATTTATTAATACTCCGTAACATAATACTCATTTTGCACATTTTCTGATGGATCTTTACACAAACACGACTAGAGGAATGAAGTCAACAGTACAAATAGAACTTTGGGCTTTTGGGCTCAAGCCCAAAATAAAACAAAGTTACAAAACCATAGAATGATTTTTGTCCATGACTAAACATCGGTTTTCGTAACAATAATCCAACATGTTTTAGAAATTGTCCCTAACTTTTGTTAATCGTCATTGCATACGAAGTAACCACAAGAAATTGTCTTCTCTGAAACTTGAATGAAATTCCTGTATCAGATGGTGTTAATGATAGTCTTGAAATAACAACTTCTTCACCAATGTGGCTTCCTCATAAAATCTTTTCTCGTATTGCGTTACTATCAACCGGGTACCATTACACAAACTTATCGAATGGTCAATATTTCGCAACAACATAATAGGCATGCTTACCTTCAAAGTTAACTCATGATTCGGTACACGAGAAACACGAATCTTATTTAGGAAATCTGGAGAGTGTAAGTCACCAAAAAAAACTTGAATTGCAGTTCGAGTTCTCAATCTTGTCAGAACTAAGGTATGTTCGAGAGTCGCTGCTTGGATTCATCGCTGTCATATATTCATTTATGGAATCAATGACATCCTCGGTTTTGTTCTTTACTGCGAAAGTAACAGGAGCAACATCACCTCCATCAACTTTCTGCATGAAATTCCGAGTGGTCTCATCTGGTATCAGAATATTGTAAATTCGTCCAACAGGCCGTAAAGGATCCCGTGCCAATAGATTCGACCGCACGGTCCCATATCCTGAATCATTCAATCCCATCAAGAATTGATGAGAACGCTCTGTCTCACACATCTTTTTCAAGCATCGCTAGAAAATCACATGTGCACTTTTCACATACACACCAGAAGACGCTCAAGATCCGCTATGTCATCCCACAACTTCTTCATCTTGCCATAACATTTCATTATGGAAAGATTCTTCTATTTGCACTCTGCCAAATCACGTTTCAACTTTCAATTGTTGAACCCTAGGTCCATTAACAATAGGGAAACGAGCCTTCAGATCATTCCATAGGTCAAAGGCCTTTTCAACGAACGATATGCTTGATCTCAAGGTTGGATCAATAGTGTTTCAAATCCATGAGACCTAAGGAGAATGATTTATCCACCAATCACCTAAATAATAAGAATCGGGATCTGGGATTCCGATCGATCAATTAACAAATCCAAATTTCTTGCATGCTCAAAGAGCAAGGCCATATATTTGGACCACTGATCATAGTTATTCCCTTTAAGATAACCTGGGTTAAAAGCATACCAGGATTATCAATTGGAGACAAATCGTATGGTGAGATACAATGACATCGCATCACAACATCATCATCCTCACGTTCTTCGAGTTTCTTGCCTGAGGTAATATTCTTGCCCGGCTCCTCGGACATGCTTGACGGTGGCACAACAACGTTGAGTCAGTGGAAGCAGCGGCGGCAAATGGTAGTGCGTGAGATGGCAGCGACTGTCGGTGGATGATATGCCAATCGATCATGCGGTAACTCCAGCGGGAGTAATAGGGTTGCAGATAACAAGAATAGGCTATAAGATACTTAGGCTAAATCACATTAAAAGATTTAATCGAATTGATTATTTAGTTCAACTTAAGAGCATATATACCCATTATTTTCTTCACACTTTTCTGATATGGGATACTCCTTAACACTCTCCCTCAAGTGGACAACGAGACTATTTTGAATCTAACTGGTTTTCCACTTGTAAATGGACTCTCCTCCCTAGAAAATGAAAGCATCGAAAGTGCCAAAACTGAGGTGGGCTAAAACAGCCACGGCGAATGGCTCTGTGCCGATTGGCCAATCAGCTGTAGAATTTTCAGAAACCCGGCTTTAGTACCATGAAATAATAATGTTTGGAGAATTTCTCTTGTCTTCATAATATGAACAAAGGTTGTATATATAGGATCTCACAGACTAAACTCTATACGAAAACTAAATACAAAAAGGAAAGAAATACAGAAGGATGAAACCAACGTAAATTGGGAAACTACCATATACAGAATAATAATATATACGAAAATTCATTTTTTCTTTTAACAATAGTATAAAGTTTAGCGTCGATTTAATGCCGTTTTAACAACTGTAAGTTAGGGGGGACTAAATTGAACATTATTTTCAATTAACGAATATCATCTCGAGAATTAGTTAATTTTGGGGACTAATTTGGGAAAAGACATATTTATACCATTTTATAAATTTACTCTTCTCTCTTTCAATGTTTTAAAAACCGGGTTGGACTTCGATCCGGACAAAACTGTGGCCTGTGGGTCAAGGGCTAACCGGTCGAAGTGGTCAACTCGAGAGTCAACGACCCGATCAAATAAAATTAAAATACTAATATTTTATATTATATTATTAGATATTTTTAATTAATAAAGGTATTTTCATTTATGTTTTTTACTTCTCCATACGGGTTTTAATTAATGTGATTGTGCATATAGTACGTTAAAGATGAGAAAATAATTTCAGTAATTATTATTTATACTTTTCTTAAGATACAAAATAAATAATACTAATTGTTTTTAGCTTTGAACTAATTTTAATAGTTAATAAAATAAATATATTATGTAAACATAGTTCGTTTTTATTAATTAGAAGCCTTTTAAAATTAAACTCTAAATAATTTAAGGTGATATATACAACCTTGCATGGTATTGGTATGTTAAACAAAAGTAGTAGTGGACTCTCCTCCTACCAAGTGTAGGTGGCCTGGTTCGGGAACCCAGATGCGTAACTTATTTTTTATAGTACGGAGTAATATACTTACGTGGAAAGGATGATTTTGGTCTAAAATCGAGAATGAGTTTTAACATTGATTTAGACCGTACTCGTCTAAGCGGTCCAACCGATTAGATCGATCGATTCAGTCTGGTTTTCATAACACTGCTCTCTCGCACCCAGTTATACTCCATATATTTCAAAAGGATTATCGCGGTCTAATATAGTTTGACTCTTTTGATCAAATTATATCATACTTTGATAAAAAGCTATAAAAAAATGTTCAGTTATAATTTAAATTTAGTAAAATCGAATTCACTTTAAAATATAGTTTTGATATATGTATCAAGTTTTATAATATTTAATTATTTAAAAATACATTTAATTTGTGTCAAAATGTTACACAATTTGACTATAAAAAACAAATTATGATATTTTTTTGGACAGAGGAAATATTTAACTTTTTAGAATTGCCAATGTTATACCTTGAACATTAAGAACTTTATTTATGCAAATCATATATTCAAATTTTGTAAAATAGATTTTGAGAGGGAGCTAGGGAGAATGAGAGAAACCAATTAGAGGGTACTTATATACTCTACATACATATATATACTCTAAATACATACAGATACATCTGGTAGATAGTGAAATACACCAAGCAAATGATCTCTACAACCCAATCTCCATTCATCACTGATTTCTGCAGCTTTATCTTGATGACCCTAATCATATGGGCCAAGGTTAAATTGACACTCATTTCCAATGTCATAATAATAGAATACTCATCTAATTGAAGCTTTTACAAGGCTTTGTTCAAAAAATTAATAGGATAATGTTAGAAGTAGGTATATATACTAAATAGTGTATTCCAATTTCCAAGTGTACACTACTAGTCTTGTAACCCTATATTTTCATGTTTTTTTTCTTTTTTTATTTACACTAAAAAGCGTGGTGATGTACACTTGAGATATACTTTTCATGTACCCAAAGTACTTTTCAAATTAATACTCGTAATTTCCATATAGAAATTATCCTAAATAGGACTAAAACATAGAGAAAATACCAAAATAGGACTTTCATATTTTTTTTCTCGGAATAGGACTTTGCATTGTGGTAATGTGACTTTGCATTGTGATAATGTGGCACTGTAAATGTGCAAATTACTATACTTTTTTGGTAATGTATATGACCATCTTTGTTAATGTAAGTCCTATTTCGGGAATAAAAACATGAAAGTTCTATTTTGGTATATTTTCAATGTTTTAGTTCTAGTTTAGTCTTTCTCCCATTTCCATAAGCTATTTGTACACCAAAACTTGTGTCTCATTTTGTATCCGAAAGGCATTTACTGATATTTTGTGCTAGTATAATGGTTTAAATTGACAAAAAATGTTAGTACAATTTTTTTAAGTAAACTAACATTTTATGACAATGTAAACGGTTAAAATATGGTGTATTTCTTTGAGGTACAACTTGATATATTTTTGAAAAATGCTAGGGATACACCAAAGGTGTACCCCATTTGTCCCTCACCCCCTCCATTACCACAAAAATGGGCAAAAATTTAAAAAAAAAATTAAATAAATAAAAAGTAGATAAAAATGAATGGTGGAGAAGGAGGTGGGGGACAAATGGGGTACACATTTGGTGTACCCCTAGCATGGCTCTATATTTTTTAGTGTACCTGCCTCATTTTCTATTGGAACCTAAATTTAGTTAATTTTGAATTTCAAAAAATTTAACTCCAATCATTTCTTTGAATGGGTACCTGTGTGAGAGTTAAATGATCTCTTGCAGTGTAAAATGGCTCCTTGAATACCATCATGCTGCTCTTTCAGAGAGTCGTCGCGCCGCTGAGAAGTCGCCGGCGGAGCTGAGGACGCCGATCGGCTTTTTCCCAGGGTCCTCGGCACATCCCGCTTCTGGCTCCTCGCGTTTCTCACCGCTACCTTCTTGTCGGAGCGTCCCGTTTCCTCTTTTTCCGGCGGAGGACTTGCCCCGGCGGCTGCCGCTGCTCGGCCTCCGGAGAAGCTCCTCACCGATTTCAGGTATTTGTGAATCATTTCCTTGGACGATTTCGTTTCCTCCGACGCGCTTGAAATGGTGTCTCGCCTGAACAGTGACTTGATCTTCGGCTCTTCAACCTTGAGTTTCACCGTGAAGAACTTCTTCTCGCCTTGATTTTGTGCTTTCTGCTTCAATTTCGGATCCAATTTCTCTAGGTTTTGTTTCGTCTTCTTCAATTTCAGCATCAGGACTCTGAATTTAGTGGTCGATTTCGACAGGGAAGCCGGATTTTTCGGGTCCGCTTCCGACGCCGTTAGGGTACCGTCAGGCGGCGAGGCGGAGGACTTCTCGCCTTCTTCGTCCTCACCGGAGCCGCTTCCGCCGTCCGTTTCGGAAAGCTGAGCATCGACGAATATATCCTCATTTTCATGTGGCTTCTCGTCTCCTCCGTCGTCATCGCCTGCCGTAGCGGCGGAGAATTCCAAGTCAAAGAAGGGGCCGTCTTCATCCGTTTCGGTGTCGGATTCCGATTCTGTGGCGGTGAAGTGAGGACTGACGGCGGTTACAACGGCGCTGGAGGAGGCCGGAGTTGACGGAGAAGGAAGCCCGCCGCCGTCTCCGTAGGCGCCACCGCGCCAGTTCTTGAGTAAGCTGAAAGCTTCCATGGCCGGAAGAGCCAAGCGTACGTATCCTGAAAGGGTTGCTGCGTTAATTTAAAGAAGAGAGGCAGGCAGTCTCTTTAGAGAAGAAACAGAGCTTTTTGGTTTTGGGCTGCTTTAATTTATACAGTGGACAGAGGTTGCCGGAGACTCAATGGAAAGGGGTCAAACACATCCTTGGTTTCGTACCCCTTTTGTCCTCCTAATTTTATCTATTTCCTACACACATAAACATAGCTTAGACAAACTGCAAAAGGGTTACAACCTCAACTTTAATTTTAGAGACATTAAAGTCATTAAGTATTTTTTCATTATAATCAATTCAGATCAGATCAGAAATAATTTCAGAGTAAATTTGCTGAGTTTTTTTCAAAAAGAGTGTTAGCGATTGTAGTGAGGACAGAGAGTTTCTTTTTTTATCCTTGTAAGCCGTTCTGTGCTTCCCTATCACAGTTCAAGCTCTCGTTCTCTAGAAAAAACATTGACAAAAATTCAGTATAACTTTTTCGTTCTTCGATCATGCATATGGTTTTTTATATAGACCTAAGGGATGACATATATGGTAAAATATACTTTGTATTTTATATGGACCTAAGGTCTATGATAATAGCACTCCAGTAGCTAATACCCCCTCCATTTCAAAATAATTTACATGTGTTACTATTACTGATGGTGTAAATTAACCATCAGAACAAACTGTACTAGATCAGATGTAGAATAGTTTGCAGAGTTTATTAGAAAGTAAAGAAGTGCAGAAAACAAAGATTGATCGGGAGAGCTATAGGTGAAAACACATGTAGTCCAATTGTTATTAAGTATGTGGAGAGTGTTGGGAGCTATTACGATATGAACTCTAAAGAGATAAAGTTCAGATCACTTCATTTGAGGGTTACACAGGTATTTATAACGAAAGGGAGGGGACAGAGCGCCGCGCATCCACATCAACCCACGTTCTAACATGGCGTTAAGTGGCTTCCTTTTGTCCAGTAGCATTTTGTCCCATTCCCTTGTCATCTTGTGCTGATGACTCCTCCTTTGGCGTGTAGCGTCCAACAAAGATTGAGGGAAAATTTCCTCAATCTTTCATTGAAAGTCCAAATTACCTTGGAGTTATTCGTGCCAACACTTTTATATCGTAGTAACCTACCCGGTAGGTTTACCGCTCGTATGTGTTCTGAAGGGGCAGAAGACCACAAGCTTGAAGTTACGTACTCCGACCGACAAGTCAATGCTTAATACCTGTCAACTTTTCTGAACACGACCAGTGGTCTTTTTTTAGTTTAAATCTTCCATTCCAACATATTTGCAACATGACTGGTCTTTTTCTGTAGAATAAGCCCATCAATAAGCCCTCTACTCGGCCTTATAAATTTATCAAGGGCGATAAGTGAAAAATTGGAATCTAGCGCTTGAAATTTGAATTTTTAAGCTTTACCCGCCTAAAATTTCAAATTTAAAGCTCTTCCCGCTCAAATTTTCGAATTTTGAAATTGAAAATTTGAATTTCAGCAAGTGTCCTGCTTCTTCCGTACGTTCGTCTTCCCAAGCGCCACGCGTGTGCCGGATGACGTGTCGCGCTATCCTTCTCCGCCTCGCCTAGATAAAAGTTTCTCCCTTCTTCTTCAATTCACTTTTCACAAATCCACTCTCGCAATTTACTTGGTCAAGTCCTTCCTCAACCCTGCAACTATTCTAACTTTCGAGTAAGTTCCCGGTTCTTCTTTTTTTTCATTACTGCTTATGTCTTCCTAAGATAGCCAAAAACGTTTCTGCTACCTCGTATGCATTTGCATCCGATGATTCTTTCTCGTCATCTTCTTCTCATTCTACCATTTTTCCAGCATCTCCAGCTTCGCTTCCATCTGCTGGACCCGGTCAGTAGGGTTTTCAAGCCTGCTTCTAACCGACTCATGCGGGTGGCTTTCAACTTCCTCCTCACGATGCGAAACTCGTGATTTAACGGGTTCAACCCTATTTGACCGTAAGCGATGGGTACGGGCAAGCTCGGCCTCCCTTTCCTCGCCCAATCGAGCAAATGCACTGACATGGGTCGCGCCATGTCCCAACCTCAGCTTGGCAGATTTGCGTTGGCATTTCTTCCTCTCCCCTAGCGTGTTAAAGGCAGAGTCCTAAGAGGTTTCTTGTTTTCGGGTCTTGCCCTTCTTCTTCTTGTGAGTCCTGGGAATGTCCCACTCTTCGTCATCGCTCTCAATCGAGATACAATGACCTTCCAGGGTGCTTTGGGGACGATGTGATGGCCCAACAGCATTCATGGTGCTTACCACCTGTGGTTGAAAAGGTAATGGTTGTGGCACCGACGTCTGGAATGGAGTTGTTGGTATGGGAGCCTGCAATGGCAATTGTAGGGCAAACAAGAACATGCCCTGGAGGAAGGACATTGCTCCGGCTTGTTGACACATGGCCATCACCTAGCCAAATCCTTGAATGGCCTGCAAATTAGCCGGGTCGTTCATGAATTGTGTCATGCTCGTGGGAAAATATGACCCTAGGCCTGGTAAAAGGAATGGGGATCGTGAATGGAGTGGGGATGATTGGGGTCGTGACATCGCTTAAGCCCAATGGCATCACCACAACAGAGTGAGCTAGCTGGGAAGTGACCACTGGCATGGTCACTTCTTCATTGGTGGTCTCTACCGGGACGGAGGTAGTGGTGTTTTGTTGGCTTGAAGACATTCTGAATATGCGGTGTTTTCGTGAGTGGGTTTTCTAGAGGAAAGAAAGAAACCTTATTGGTCCCACTGATGGCACCAAAAATGATTGTGTAAATTTACCATCCGGACAAACAGTAATAGATCGGGTCTAGAATAATTTGATGAGCTTAGAAAGTAAAGAAGTGTAGAAAGCAAAGATTGACGAAGAGGACTGTAAGTGGAAACACATGTTGTCTAATTGTTATTAAGTATGTGGAGAGTGTTTGGAGCTATTACAATATAAACCCTAGAGAAATAAGGTTTGATTCACTTCATTTGAGGGTTACACATGTATTTATAAGGAAAGGGAGGGAACAGAGCACTGTCGTCTAAATCAACCCACGTTCTGAGATGGCGCGAGGTGGCTTCCTTTTGTCCCGTAACATTTTGTCTCATTCCATTGCCATCTTGTGTTGATGACTCCTCCTTTGGCGCATAGCGCCCAGCTGAGATTGAGGGAATGTTTTCTCAATCTTTGGTTGAAAATCGGTCATTGTCGTCCAAATGACCTTAGAGTTATTCGTGCCGACATTGTTACACCGTAGTCACCTACCCGATAGGTTTACCTCTCGTTTGTGTTCTGAAGGGGCAGAAGACCACAAGCTTGAAGTTACGTACTCCGACCGGTAGGTCAATATTTCGTACCAGTCAACTTTTCTAAAAATAACCGTACCGATGGTTTATTTTTATGTTAAAACTTCCATTCTGATTTTTGCAACATGACCGGTCTATTTCTATGGACCCGGCTACGGACCGGGTTTTTTATGGAATACACCCATCAATTACGACATCTCAATAATTTTTGTTTGTTTACATATTTTCATTGATTATTTGATATTATAAAATATTTTTGTCACCATTTTTTTGAAAAGTTTTGAGTTGCGTGTTACAAAATTGACTAAGGTAGCATTCCATTCAACTTATTTTTTCTGCTTATTACTTATTCTTATTGTAATTAAATCAGAATAGATCAGATCAGAAAGAACTTTAATTATAAATAAAATTAGATTAGACCAGATCTTCAAAAAAACAAATCAGACAAACAAAACGCATCCTAAATAGACTTTTAATTCAATTTGTAAGAAAATTGACATAAAAATTAAAAATACAAATTTTATTTTTCGAAAACTATATTAAAAATTCTATTAAAAACCAAGAAGCCAAGACTATATGTTTTTATTAATTAATAACTAATGAGAATAAGAAGACAAAGAGGTCAAAGTTCAACTCTTTTAACAGGGGTAAATTTCACTCATGGTATACGAACTTTCATCATTATTTCACTTTGGTATATAAACTTTAATTTCTATCACAAAAATACATGAACTTTGAACATTTTTTCACCGGTGGTCCAATAGGCGGGTTCTAAGTCATCTTCAGATCATTTGGGATCAAATTATAATTTTATAAATTTAAATATTATGATTTTGACCCATTTTCTTTTTTTTTCTTTTGATTCTCTAACCTCTTCTTCATATATTCTTCAACACCACCCACCCTCCCCCCATTTTTTCTCTGCTTCCCATCTTCTTCTAGCCCCCCCCTCCATCCCTGTTTTTTCATTCATAATTTGTCCGTTGTTGTGGCCGTTGCTGCACCACGATAATTTGCTTCGTCGAAGCCGCTCGTCCCGCCGCCGGCATCAACAACTCTACAGCTGCTACTAGCCCCACCTTGCTCCGCGACAACAAAGCCCGTACGTATTAGTCTTATATATCTAAGCTATCTATCTATCTGTTATCAGTACATTTTTGTTACGACTGGGGCTCGTGAGGACGTCGAGGACGGGGCTGACCATGCATGCATGGGGGAGGTGCGGCGTAGTACGAGAGCGAGGAGGCCGCCGCATTGGCAAAAGGATTATGCAATTTGAGATTTATTATTTATTATTATTAATGTAATGTAGATTTTATTAGGTGAGCCTCTGCGCTCCTTCTTGGTGGATACAAAGAATAACAACAATCTCTTCCTCCCTTAATTATTCTTTTCCTGAAACTCCCACCTCTCTAGCTTCCAGCCGTTTCTCTCCTTCTTCCCTAGCTTCTCCTTCTTTCTCCCTCGTCTGTCTCTCTACCAAGGCACGAAGGAGCCTTCTTCTTCCTTCTCTGGTTGGTACGGGTGTATCAATTGGTGCTTTCATTATGTCCGGCGAAGTATCCGGTGATCGTGAACAACGCGATGAACGTATTGAGACTCTACAACAAACCATGCATCAAATGCAACAGGATTTAGAAGCAAAATTTTCTCGGTTGGAAGCCTTGGTTTTGGCACATCGGCCGCCACTTCTGCCTACACCACACGGCAAAGCCCCGTTCGGCAGTCCTTCAACTTCGGGGGGCATGACTTCTCATCGGGTCATTTGGGACTGCCGAAACCTAAACTGGAGGTGCCCAAAACTGACGGTTCGGAGCCTTTACGTTGGTTATACAAGGTGAACGAGTACTTTACTTTTTATGATACCGCCCCGGCTGACCGGTTACGTTGTGTGGCGTTAATGTTGGAGGGTCCGGCGGCGGATTGGTTTCGATGGCGTCAAAACGGAAAATTGATTTCCGGATGGGATGATTTTGTTGAAAAGTTTAAACTGCGCTTTGATCCCTTGCATTATGTGGATTATTTTGCACAATTGGCTAAGCTCCGGCAAACAGGGTCTGTCATGGAGTATCAAACCGAGTTTGAGAAAGTCCTACAACATGTGACCGGGGCATCCGAAGCTAACCACATATCAATTTTTCATTCGGGACTCCGGCCGTATTTACAACATGAAATTGCCCTCTTAGCACCAGAAACACTGTCGGATTCATTTGCTTTGGCTAGAGAATTGGAAGCCAAACACGCTGCCTTGCTACAGGCCATGCTGCAGCGCCAAAATACCTGGACGTCTGGAGCAAATTCCCGACCTCCTCTGCCTCGTTCCCCGGTGCCGGCTACAACGGATTCCACTTCGGCTACAACAGCTTTAGCAACACCCATCCGCCGTCTCACACGAGCGGAGAAAATGGAAAAAGACGCGAAAGGGTTATGCTATAATTGTGATCAACGTTGGACCAAAGGGCATCGTTGTGGACGCGTCTTACTCCTTATTGGTGATGATGACGATGCGCCAGTGGACGACGGGTGGACAAAACAGCCACCGTTGTTGATCCATGGGTAACGGCGGACATCTCGAGTCTACAGAGCTTGACCGGGGCTGTTACTCCTCGTTCTTTACATCTCACGGGCACCATCGGGACGCACGAATTACAAGTTTTGATCGACGAGGGAAGCACCCACAATTTCATTCATCCGCGGGTGGTGTCCAAATTACACTTAGCTGTGACGCATGTGCCGCCATTTCGAGTATACGTGGGTAATGGTGATTACCTCCTCTGTGATACTCAATGTCTCCAAGTCAAGTTGGATTTGCAGGGCACCATATTTCCGGTTGATTTGTTCGTCCTTCAAATCCATGGGCCGGAGATAGTTTTGGGGGTTCAATGGCTGCAACTATTGGGGAAAGTCGCTCATGACTACTCTAAATTGACAATGGAGTTTCAATGGGAGGACAAGTCAGTGATTTTAAAGGGTTTGCTTCAGGCCCCAAAAGTAGTCTCTCTCCAAGTTTTACAAGCAATTCATAATCTGGCAAGAGCTCGTGACTACATGGAAATTCTCTACTTGCATACGCCGGCAACTCCAGGTGAGGACACCCCACTTTCAGACCTGCCCACTTCGGTCCAGCAGCTCCTCCAGCGGCATGCAGCAGTGTTCGAGGCCCCTACCGGTCTTCCACCTCGACGGGATGTTGACCATCGAATTTTTCTTCAACCGGGTGTATCCCCGGTTAATGTCCGGCCGTACAGGTACCCACATTTTCAAAAGGATGAGATCGAACGCCTCGTACGAGAGATGTTGGACCAAGGCCTAGTTCGTCCGAGTCGCAGCCCGTTTTCTTCCCCCGTTTTGTTGGTGAAAAAGGACGGTACCTACCGTTTTTGCGTTGATTATAGGGCACTGAATGCCGTCACTATTCCTGATCATTTTCCCATCCCGACGGCGGATGAATTATTCGATGAGCTCGGCCAGGCACGGTGTTTCACGAAACTGGATTTACGGGCCGGTTATCACCAAATTCGTATGCATGACCGGGACATCTATAAGACGGCATTTCGAACTCATGAAGGCCATTACGAGTTTTTGGTGATGCCATTCAGCCTTACCAATGCTCTGTCGACGTTTCAAGCATGCATGAATCGGTTATTGAGGCCGTACTTACGTCGGTTCGTGATTGTTTTTTTGACGATATCCTGGTTTATAGTCAGTCTGTTACTCAGCATGTTGAACATTTAGAGATGGTTCTCACGCTTTTGGAAAGTCATCACTTCTTCGTCAAGCAGTCCAAGTGCTCTTTTTGTCAATCCTCCGTCAACTACTTGGGACATGTAATTGCCGGGGGTAGTCTCATCGCCGATGCTGCCAAGATCGAAGCCATTGTTAATTGGCCCACACCTAAGTCCCTTAAACAACTACGGGGTTTCTTGGGTCTTACGGGCTACATTGCCGCACCGTTAACCGACCTCTTGAAAAAGGATGCTTTTTGATGGACTCCCGAAGCCGCGACAGCCTTTACCACATTGAAGCAGAACATGACGGCAGCCCCCGTCTTGCGGTTGCCAGATTTTTCTGTGATGTTTGTGGTGGAGACCGATGCAAGTTCAACCGGTATTGGCGCGGTGTTACTTCAACAGGAGCAACCGATCTCATTTTTTAGCAAGAAGTTGGGTCCCTGGCGTGCAGTGGCATCCGCCTACCATCGGGAGTTATACGCCATTGTTGAGGCCGTCCAGAAGTGGTGTCAGTATTTGTTGGGTCGCATGTTCACGGTGCGTACAGACCAGCGGAGTTTAAAGGAGTTGTGGCAACAAGTGATCCAAACCCCCGATCAGCAGTTTTATGTTCGGAAATTGTTGGGGTTTCGATTTCAAATTGAGTATAAGACAGGTCCTTCCAACCGCGTGGCAGATGCTTTGTCAAGGCGTGATGAGCCGGCGCTTTCTGGCCAATCGCTGGTGTTACTGTCCCAGCCAGTCCCGAACCTCCTTAGCCACATCCGGGCTGATAACACGACACAGCCGGATTTGCTTCGCCTCCATGACGGGCTTCGCCAGGGCACGTTGAGCACTGACTATACGGTGGCAGACGGCATCCTTTATTTTCGTCGACGCATTTACATTGGGGTTAATTCAGCATTACGGATGGTCCTCATCCATGAATATCATGATGCCCCGATGGCCGGACATTCGGGTATACATCAAACTTTTCAGCGCCTGGCGATGGTTTTTTATTGGCCATCCATGCGACGTGATGTTAAAGAGTATGTGGGTCGTTGCTTTGTATGCCAGACAACGAAGTATTCGACACTTCCACCGGCGGGATTGTTGCAGCCTCTTCCTATTCCCACACAGGTTTGGGATGATGTCTCTATGGATTTTATTGTTGGGTTGCCCCCATCACGCGGCTTTACGGTCATATTGGTGGTTGTCGATCGCTTGTCTAAGTACATCCACCTCGGAGCTTTACCTACGGACTTTGACGCACATCGGGTTGCTTTCTTGTTTGTTGACATGGTGGTTAAGTTACATGGGTTTCCAAAGACGATCGTCTCTGATCGCGATCGCATATTCGTTAGTAAATTTTGGCGCCAATTGTTGAAGTTGAGCGGGACTACACTCCACCACAGCACCGCTTTTCACCCCCAGATTGACGGTCAGACGGAAGTCGTGAACCACGGGGTGGAGCAGTACCTGCGGGCGTTTACACTGGACACACCGGCGAGATGGACGGTCTTGTTATCCTGGGCTGAGTATGCTTTGAATACCAGTTTTCACAGTGGCTTGGGGATGACGCCATTTCAGGCGTTATATGGCGTGAACCTCCGTCTTTCCTTCCTTACGCACCTGGTGATTGCCAATTGCCGGCAGTTGACAAACTGCTCGTGGAACGAACTGAGATGCTAGGCCGGCTGCGTCAAAGATTGGCCCTGGCCCAGCAATGGATGCAGGCTGCCGCGGATAAGCATTGCCGTGAGCTCTCGTTTGAAGTGGGTGACCTGGTCCTTTTAAAGTTACAACCGTACCGGCAACACTCAGTCGCGGTACGGCGGTCGCAGAAGTTGGCCCGGAGGTATTATGGGCCGTTCGAAGTTCTTGCCATAGTCGGGGCAGCGGCCTATCGTCTCAAACTTCCGAAGGGGGCGCGTATCCATCCGGTATTTCATGTGTCATTGTTGAAGCCATTTCGGGAGAGTGGGGATGGAATCTCGGCCTTGCCTCTTCCAGATGCTTTGGTGCAGGGGGACCCCGTTTCTGCTCCAGTACGCATACATGGGAGACGGACGATTTTGCAAAATGGTAGGGCAGTGGAGCAAGCTTTGGTCCAGTGGTCGGATGGTGGGTTGGATGACGCTTCGTGGGAACCATTGGATACGATTCGAGAGCACTTTCCTCAATTTCACCTTGAGGACAAGGTGCTTCTTGAACCGGGGGAGAATGTTACGACTGGGGCTCGTGAGGACGTCGAGGACGGGGCTGACCATGCATGCATGGGGGAGGTGCGGCGTAGTACGAGAGCGAGGAGGCCGCCGCATTGGCAAAAGGATTATGCAATTTGAGAATTATTATTTATTATTATTAATGTAATGTAGATTTTATTAGGTGAGCCTCTGCGCTCCTTCGAGGGTTTCTTTTCGGTTCTTTACCTCGATGCTTTTTCTTGAACTGACAGGATAGATAATGTAGAAAAGTAGGGTTGGGGAACTTTTTTATAGGGAAGTTGTATCATTGGTGGATACGGAGAATAACAACAATCTCTTCCTCCCTTAATTATTCTTTTCCTGAAACTCCCACCTCTCTAGCTTCGAGCCGTTTCTCTCCTTCTTCCCTAGCTTCTCCTTCTTTCTCCCTCGTCTGTCTCTCTACCAAGGCACGAAGGAGCCTTCTTCTTCCTTCTCTAGTTGGTACGGGTGTATCAATTTTATATGTATACGTACTATGTATATATTTAATTTTATTGCATCTTATATATTCTTAATTAATTAATTATATTATTCTTTGTTTTCATCTCTATCGATCTCTCCATTACCCTGTAATTAATCAATTTGGGATTGGTTAATTATGTATATAAAAACTCCGTATATACGAAATGAAATATTATGTGTACATAGGCGTATTAATGAGCGTGCGTGGGTCGGTGCGTGCAGGGTGCTTGTGGGGAAACAGAGCATCCTACAGATTTGTCAATGGCTCCGGGGACGGCCTCACCAACTGGCTCGTAAAAACAGTGGGGGAAGAAGGGAAGAAGAGAAAAAATGGTGCTGGTGGGGTGGGGGTGGGGGTGGGGCTGGAAGAGAAAGAGAAAAAAATGGAGAGGGAGGGTGGGTGGTGTTGAAGAAGATGAAGAAAAGGGTGGAGAATCACAACAAAAAAAAGAAAAAGGGTCAAAATCATAAAACTTAAATTTATAAAATTATAATTTGACCCCAAATGACTTAGAAACCGCCTATTGGACCACCGGTGAAAGAATGTTCAAAGTTCGTGTACTTTTGTGATAGAAATTAAAGTTTATATATACCAAAGTGAAATATTTGAACATCAAAAAAAAGTATAAAAACTTTTATGAGACAGAAGAAATAACCAAATACTCTCTCCATTCTTGAAAAATGGTCTAGTTAGGTTTGTGTATCAAGCGTTTGTGATACGAATATCGTATCGGATAGGGAAGAACTTCGAGCCTTCTTCAAGCTCCAAGATGATGAGGTAGAGAAAGATGGAAAATTTCTAGCGCTTCCGGGCTCCAGAGAAGAGAGAACGAGATTAGGAGAATTCTTGATTATTGATTGATTGAATATTAATAACGAAGGGTTATAATATATATATATATATATATATATATATATATATATATATATATATATATATATATATATATATATATATATATATATATATAAAGAACATAGATTACCCTAATGGGCTCGGGCACATACTAAAACCCTAAACCATCAATAAATAATACGGAGTAATAAATAACTACTAAATAATAGTATAACTAATTAAAATATTATAATTAAATGTCCCAATCATTCCAACCTCATTAAAATCCACCTTGTCCTCAAGGTGGAGGCTCCCACTCGTGCTTTAAGACTAGAGAAAAATGTTAAACCAAAGGAGCAGTCTACTCTTTGAATCTTCAACCATCTTGGATCTTGGAACAAATCGAGGGACATGCGAGATAGAGCTAATGCCACATGTATGTTATCTTAGTTAAACTAGGTGCTTTGTCTTGACCGCATCAATAATGTCAAATAACTTAATTGTGTCAAATGAAATGAGATTGTCCGTTTGCTTATTATCTGCATTTGCCACCTTGTTGACACCTTCTAGAAGGGCAAGCTCAGCAACGGTCACAGAAGTTGAGCCATTGACCAGATCATAATATTCACCTGATGGAAGATCTAGGGTGTCCAGTTTAACAATATCTTCTGAAATATCACCTTTATTGTTCTCCACAACATTAAATCTCTCGTTATCTTCATTCATGAGTTCTACGCTAGAGTCATCCTTTGATTCTGTTTCATGAGACGTAGTGTTTTGTACGGTGACCATATGAGCCAAATTGGGTGGAGAAAGCGTGGCATTGATGAGGTTTCGGATGGAATTCATCATGTTTGTTCTAAAATTTTGTAACTCCAAGGGAATCAAAATCGGAAAAATTGAGGGACCACGAACCAAATCTTGTATCGTGCAAGGGATTTCAATGCCAAATGTGTGTAAGTCAGAATCATAATTTGACTTACCTTCAATATGACGGAATGACAGAAGATTCTTTATAATTTCATCTACGTGATCGTAAAGTGCACATACTCCTTCGTCATGCTCAATTTATTCATAAAGAACATTCTCAAGAAAATCAATAAGTTAGTCATGTTGGGATATTTGATTAAATAATCAAAAGAAACAAAAAAGGAAGAAAGAAAGAAAACAAAAGGAAATCAAATATGTTGATTTTGGAGATTTTGCTTTAGGCTGATTTTGGTGGCTATTAGCATGTTTTTTGTTGACTTTTCTTTGATTGCACTATTCATGTTTAATTTGGCTATAAAACATGGAGCATTGTGCAGGGGTTTTTTTCACACACGGAAGAGAGAAAGGGTGTGAGAGAGGTACTACACAAGATATCACCAAAATTGTGAGTGAGTGTAGGGAGTAATTATTATTTAGTTACTCGGAAAATACATCCGGGTTTAGGGTGTGAAAAGTCTGTTTATAAGTGTCTGGTATTTAGCACTTGTAACTAGGGTGAGTTTTTTTTGTGTATCGTTCTGAAATAGTGAAGATATATTTTTCTCTCATATTTTCTTCTTGTGTAGTGTGTTTATTTATTTTTCACGTTCTTGATATTTTAAGAGTCTTACGCACTTAAAATTCCAACAATTAGTATCGGAGCCAAGTTACATTTGGGGCGGAGGGATTTTTAAGCGGTAAGAGAAGAAAGTCGAAGAACTTGAAAAATGGCATCGGTAAAAAGTTCGAATGTTTCCGTCGAACCTTTCAATGGACGTGGCGATTTTACTCTGTGGCAACAACGAGTAAAAAGTATTCTTACTCGGGAAGGGACAATCAAAGCTCTGAAGGTGAAGGTTCAGAGGACAGAAAAAATGATGGATGCTGAGTGGGCCAAACACAGGAAGAACGACAAACCGGAAAAATTGTCGGAAGAAGAGTTGGAGGATTTGAAGGACATGGCAACAAGTACAATATGCCTATGCCTTGCAAATAATACTCTTCGAGAGGTTCTCGGTTTAACGGTCTTGGTGGATATTTGGGACAAGCTGGAGAGCCGGTACAAGTCGAAATCGTTAACAAGTAGGCTATACTTGAAGAAGCGACTGTTTGGTCTCCAAATGGCGCAGGAAGCTAACGTTAATGGACACTTGGATGAATTCAACAAGATTACAACAGAGTTGGAATCCATTGATGTGAAGATTGAAGAGGAGGACAAGGCGCTGCTTTTGTTGGCTTCATTGCCTTCATCTTTTGACAACATCGTGACCACACTTTTGTTTGGAAAAGAGACCTTAAAATTTGATGAAGTAGTTGCTGCGTTGTTGATGAACGAGACTCGACGGGGTGGCAACGGGGTATCAAATGACGGTCAAGCTTTGGTAGCAAAAGGAGCTAGTCGGGAACGAGGACGGTCTAAAGAGAGGGGCGGCGCGTCCCAACGCTTCAAATCGAGTAGTAAAAGCTTTCGGTGTTACTACTGCGATGAAGAGGGTCATTTCAAAAGGGATTGTCTAAAGAGGAGGAAGGAAAAGAAGGACGGGAAAACACCCGTGACTGTGGTTGCAGAATGTTCAAACCAAGAAAGTGAAGATGACTTGTTTTTGGCAACCACAAAGAGTCTAGGTAAATCGGATTGGATATTAGATTCGGGTTGTTCGTTTCACATGTGTTCAATTAAGGAAAAGTTTGATACGTATCAAACTTGTGATGGGGGTGCTGTGAAGATGGCAAATGGTGCACGGAGCAAGATTGCAGGGGTCGGAACAGTGCAAGTTTGCATGTTTGATGGCGTGGTGAGAACATTAACTGGAGTGAAACATGTACCGGGTCTAAAAGGAAATTTAATTTCATTGGAGGCTTTAGACTCAGAATGCTACCGAATTTTTGCTCAAGGTGGAGTGTTAAAAATTTCTAGGGGAGCAATGGTGGTAGCAAAAGGAGTTTTGTCAAAGGGCTTGTATAAACTTGTAGAAAAAGATTTGACACAGAAGCGATCAGAAGGAAACATTACAAGTGCAACAAGCGGAGCATTTACATGGAAGAAGCGGGTGATGTTTGAAGCTTCTCAGGTTGGTGGAGACTTTGACCTTGCCAGAATGAGCGGGGTGGAGCCGGACCGTGGTTTGATTAATTAATCAAGGTGAAGTTTGTTGGGATATTTGATTAAATAATCAAAAGAAACAAAAAAGGAAGAAAGAAAGAAAGAAAACAAAAGGAAATCAAATATGTTGATTTTGGAGATTTTGCTTTAGGCTGATTTTGGTGGCTATTAACATGTTTTTTGTTGACTTTTCTTTGATTGCACTATTCATGTTTAATTTGGCTATAAAACATGGAGCATTGTGCAGGGGTTTTTTTCACACACGGAAGAGAGAAAGGGTGTGAGAGAGGTACTACACAAGATATCACCAAAATTGTGAGTGAGTGTAGGAAGTAATTATTATTTAGTTACTCGGAAAATACATCCGTGTTTAGGGTGTGAAAAGTCTGTTTATAAGTGTCTGGTATTTAGCACTTGTAACCAGGGAGAGTTTTTTTTGTGTATCGTTCTGAAATAGTGAAGATATATTTTTCTCTCATATTTTCTTCTTGTGTAGTGTGTTTATTTATTTTTCACGTTCTTGATATTTTAAGAGTTTTACGCGCTTAAAATCCCAACAAGTCCAATGCACAAGTGTTCATAATCAGCATCTCTAACGGTTTGAATTAGACCTCCATTCGAACTGAAAGATCTTGTTGCATTTGAGAAAATTATTGAGTAAAAGTGTCCATCCTACAAATGGCACGTTCTAAACGGCTCAGAGCAACTTGGATACGGCAAAGTGTGGTAATTTAACCAAAGCAAAAGACTTTGCAATTTGGATTCTCAATCTTGGCTTTGAAAAGTGAAAACAAGCCGTTGTAATTGAAGAGCAGCAATCGTGCCACAAAAACATCACCCCCTAAATCAGCCCCTACCAATTCAACATTACACAAAAAAAAATCAAATACCTCTGCAGATTTTCGGACAACCTCTGCAACACAAGAATCGGGCGATGGCAAAGGCAATTTTTGGACTGGCGCCTAGAGGCAAGGTGTTGCGATCTGGGATTTTTTTTGGTTTTTTTGGTGAGTTCAAAAATGAAAGAACCAATTGATACAAATATTGTATCGGATAGGGAAGAACTTCGAATATTGCGCGTTATGATGTTTGACTGAAGTTATTTTCAAAGCATTTTATATGAAAAATAGTGTAAAATTTAAAAAATTATGTATTAAACTATATTAAAATATCTACAAAACTAGAAGCGACATGACTATATTATTTTATCAAATGAGTGACAAAAATAGGCCAACAAAGTGAATAAAGTTTGACCCTGTGAATAATGAACAGGAAATTTATTTGTGGACAGAGGGAGTATAACGAATAATATGCACAAAAGGATGTTTATTGAAAATCAAATCGTTAAATAAACAGACATTTTTCAAAGATACCATGACAAAGGAGATGTACAGTATAGTCTCAACGACTATTTACATAGATTGAAATTCTGCATAGGAGACAATGAATAATGAAAAAGAAATCTCTTGAATAAGAGTAAAAAGTATGAAAATACTAAAATATGTTAGAGTGTCATCCCACATCAGAAGTTTAAGAGCAAAATAATTGGTATATAAGATATTGAGTTGAACTAACTAATCGATTGAATTCAATCTTTTAATATGGTTCAATCCAAGTGTCTTATTACCTAATTCAGTATTTCATACCCCATCCTAAATTCTATAAAAATAGAAGTCCTAATTCTTTTAAGATCAAAGTAGGAGTAAAATCGTAATGATATGTAAGAGTACGCGTTAGCATTGTAATCAGTCAACCACTGCAATTGGTGGCGGCACTCTAGTGGCTGCGGTGACATATGACAGTGTAGTAGTGATAGTGTGACAATTTGTGAGTTTGACAATGTAACAATACCAACATGAATTCATATTTTAGTCTTAAAAAGCTTAGAATTCATATTTTAATGTTCTCATATTTTTGTAATTATACAGAGGGTTATTCTGTAGTAACATGGTAGGTAAATTTACCTATAATTGGAAGTAGGGCTTCTTTTACAAACAAACAAGGAACAGTGGAACACTACAGACTAGAGTTAGAATTTACTCATGGATAAGGGTTGATTTGATTTTGGCGGTTCAGTTTTTATTCAAAACCAAAGATAAAACGGAAGATAAGTTGGCAGTTCGGTTTGGTTCGATTTTGCATAAAAAATATATAAATCGTTGGTTATTTGGTTCGATCTTATGTGGCTTTTATTTTGATTTTTTTCGATTTTTTTGATTTATAAAAATAAAAATTTATAAGTATCTAAAAGTTTTAAAAATACTAACGGGATGAAGAAATAAAAATATGTAAGTTTGGGTTCAGTTTTTTTGTTTTATTTTTATAGAAAATAAAAAACCAAACGGAAGGTTAGTATTCCGTTCGGTTCAATTTGACAAAAAATATGGATCAAGTGACCAACAAAAATCCAGGACATTCCAAATACTCTCAAAGATATCATATGTAAATATACGGATAATTTGAACTTTTTGGTATAATACTTTCATTTTCATGATAACATCAAAGTTTTTTTTATGTAAATATGTATCAATATTTAATGGTAATATAATTCTGTATTATGATTAGTTATTGGTGTTTATACATTCTTAGGCTTTTTTAAGGTTTATAATATGGTTTAAAATATTTAATTAATAGTTAAACATATAATTTTCATCGACTAGTCATTTATTTACATTTATATTTCTATGATTTTTTTACATATCACATATACTAATATAAATAAAGTAAAGTACATAAAAAAGTTTGGTTTTTTTGGTTCAGTTTGGTTTTCCAAAGTGAAAACCAAAATGAAAATCAAATAATAACGGTTTGGTTTGGTTTTTTTCATTCGGTTTCAGTTTTTTTTATTCAGTTTTTTTCTAACTCGTTTCGATTGATTTCGGTTTTCCCAGCCTAGACCTACTCATGGATCCGCTTAGATTAGACCCAATATTTTTGAGTTTAGGCAAGGAAATATTATTCTTCACCTTAAAAATGCAGATTTTTTTGGGACAAAGAGAGTACTCCCTCCCACCAAAAATAATTGTAACATTATACAAAAAAAGTAAGACATCAAATTCTTTTCATTCAAATTCTGTGATTCCTATCATTTTTTGTGCAGTTGGAGTCGGGGGTCTCTTGGAAACAACCTCTCTACTTCCGAGTAGGAGCAAGGTCTGCGTATACACACCCTCCCCAGACCCTACTGTAGTGAAATTCAACTAGGTTGTTGTTGTTGTTGTTTTCATTTTATTTAAAGATCAGTATATAAATTTAAAAAATGAAATTTAGATATTTAAAAATTATATTAAAAGTTCATGTACATTTTAAACAGTGAACTATGACATTCTTTTTTAGAGGGAGGGAGTATTTGTTCTCATGATAGGATCCTTTGTGAAGAAGTACATCATGTTTTAAACTCATACTCACTCACAATAAAAAAAGCTATTCCCACATGCTCCCACAAATCAAACTTTCGATCTCTCTTTACAAAAGAAGGGACCACCTAGACGTTACACACTTGGCAAGACAAGAGCTGCCTAATAATATTTGAGTTTAACTTCTGTCAACTGGGTTGAAAAGAACTATGCTAAGTATATGATTCTTGCAAGCATCTAGTCTATGATCTATTCTTTGATATCAATCCGTAATCAAAGTGTAATTTATTTTTTTTTTCTATGATCATCCGACCAATTTTGATAGACGCTCAATAATGGGATTCATCCATTTTTTTTTCCCAATGTGTCCATACAATAAAAGAGCCGCACTTCTCCCAAATCAAACTCGCGATCTTCTTTACTCGAGAGCGCGTTATAGCTTTTACTATAGAAGGATGGGAGCACGCACTATGGTACATGTTTTAGTCAATTATGTCCACGCAGATATTTTTGTCTTGAAGCAACTTTAGCTATTGTCTCACTTTGGTTAGTTTGGTAAATTCACCCACCCACATACCATGTACTTCCCATTAGGGGTGTTCAAAAATATCCGATCCGAAATATCCGTCCACGATCCGGGTTGATCCGATCCGAAAAATGGATATCCGATCCGATATTTTAGCTTTCGGATATTTCGGATCGGATATCCGAAAAAATTCGGATCGGATATGGATTCAAATTCTAGTATTTTTCGGATAATCGGGTATCCGAATTTTTTTCTTAAATTTTATTTTATACCCTAAGGCCTAAGCCACTAAGCCTAATTTTATCAAATTATAGTTAATATTTTAATACCATACTAAAGCCCAATTATATTAGCCGTAACCAGTATGCCCGTATATCCTAATAAGTCATACTCCCTCCGTCCCTAAATAGATTACAATTTTTTTTCTTTCTCCTCTCGATAACTTTTGTTTGTTTACGCGATTTCATTAAGTATTTGATAAAATAAAATATTCTTATCACCTCTTGTTTTGTAGAACTTTTGACGTAGTTTTTTAATATGTAATTTTTATATCTTATTAATATATCAATTTGTAAATAAAATGATTTCAAAAAGTAGAAAATTTTACTTTGTAACCCGCAATTTGTAATCAAATTGTTTCTCGAGAATTCCGAGAAACAGCAGACCATCTCTACTCTTCTTCTTCTTCTTCAGTTCTTCGACCGAAAGAGGCGACCATCTCTACTCTTTTTCTCCAGTTCTTCGACCAGAAGATGCAGGCTTCCCAAATAGACAGCAACATATATCCGAATCATTCGATTGCAAGGTTAATTTTTTTATATCTAATTTTGCTCAAAACCCTATTTTAAGATTTCTCTTATGTGTACTCCAATTATAAATACTAAATACTAATTGTAATGTTGAATAAAGGGCTGTTGAATTTACAATAATAAGGGGATGTTGAATTTGGGGCTTTTGAATTTACAATGCACAAATGTCCTGAAGTGATTAAAGTTTAATCATGAAGTAAGACTAAAAATCTTGGCATCTAATTTGATTTATGTAAACAGTGAAGATGATGTTGAGAGCTTGAATGATGTTGGGAGGCCTGATGATCTTGACATCTAAAAGTTAACTTTTTCGGATAATCCAGTGATTCGATCCAAAAATTTGGATATCTGAAATTCGGATATCCGAATATTTTTGAATTGGACATGGAATGAGTTTTACATAATCCAAAATTTTCGGATATTCGAATTTTCAGATCGGATCGGATCGATCCGATTGAACACCCCTACCTCCCATCACTTTGACAAAATTCAGTTTCGTGTGTGTGTGGTTCCTTGTCCGCCAGGGCCACAAATATTTCTTTTTGTCTCATTTTTATTTTGTTCATCTTATGGATTACTGCTACTTGACAAGTTGGCACAATAGTTTTTTAGTCTAAATACATTAAATTTAATCATTAATTACATTAATACTCTGTAACACATTTATGACAACTTTTTGCATGTTAAATAAAATGATACCTCCTATGCCCCCAATTTGATTGCAATTTTTTTCTCTCCCCTCTCGATAACTTTTGTTTGTTTACGCGATTTCATTAAGTATTTGATAAAATAAAATATTCTTGATACCTCTTGTTTTGTAGAATTTTTGACGTAGTTTTTTAATATGTAATTTTTATTTCTTATTGATATACCAATTTGTAAATAGAATGATTTTAAAAAGTGAAGTATTTCTCCTCGTAAACCCAATTTGTTTGGTACTAATATCCAGTACAACTTGTATTTAATTGAAAAAAAATCAAAGTTTGTTCAGTTTGACTAAAAAATGTCAACTTAGACAAGTATTCTGAGACGGATGTGATGTAATAAAAATATTTATACTCCATATAATATACTCCCTCCGCCCTAAAACTTTCTTCGCAGAGCACTATTCCAACTTCACGAGAATTTATATTTATTTGTGTTTTTTCATGGCCTATATGATAAAATAAAATATTCTTGTCACCACTTATTTTGTTGAACTTTTGATGTAGTTTTTAAATATGCATGTTTTATTTTTTATTGATATACCAATATTTAAATAAAATAGATTGAAAAAATTTAGAATTTTTCTTCGTTTTGCGCAACGGGAAGAAAGATATAAGACGAAGAAAGTAATATACTTCCATCTCAAAAAACCTTCCCACTTTTTGACTTTGTTCGTAAAGTCTCCACACACTTTGACCATTAATAAATACGGAGTACTTCATAATTTTATGTAAATAAATGTTTTAACAATTTGATATACTAAAGTTAATTCAATGACATTAAGTTTACATCATTGCTAAATATACATTTTTTATAATTTGTTGTCGAAGTATATAAAAAATTCCAAAAAAGTCAAAATGTGAAATGACATTTGGACAAAGGTAGTCTATTAATCAAATTTCTGTAATATGTGAAAAAAATATACCCCCAAAATCAAAATTTTGAATTTGTTAGAAGTGCAGGCATCATCAGCATGCAGCCAGCCCCATTGGGTTTTCATTACTCCAAAAGGTGAAATCGCTCACTCCGGGCGCCCCTCACCCCCGACTCGACAGGAATGTGAGAGGAGGTAAATCACGGTGACCCAAGCACAACACTTAGCTAGATTGGGTTTTCATTACTCGCATACAGAACACACTGCCTTTGATTTTTGTTTTGTACAAAGGATGGATGTTACTTGCGGCGTGTCAAGAAACCAACCTTTGCGTGGAACCATGCAACATGTAAGTAATTATCTCCCCCACCCAATTCAACCTTTCTTCCGTTTGTTCGCCTGTTTAACTTTTACTATACATCTCCCTCCATGACCACTTATCTAATAAACATACCATATACTCCCTCCGTCCCTAAATAAAGTTTCATTTTTGACTTTTTGAGGATTTAAGGAAGAGATAGTTTTGTGTTGACTTTCCAAAAATATCTTTGATGTGATGTGTAAAAGTAAGATGTGATAGGTAGATTATTAGTAAAAAGGTATGATGTGATAGGTAGGGTATGAAAAAGTAAGGGGTAAAAAGGATTTTTTAAGGGAAAAGAAAAGTTTATTTAGGGACAAAGAAAAAACGAAAGAAGAACTTTATTTAGGAACGGAGGGAGTATATAATTTGGAAATGATCATTGCTTTCACACTCACTTTCTTTTCGTTTGAGCTTTTTAAAGAATAATTAATTTTTAATGATAATCATGTGTGGATACAAGAGTTTATATAGTAGGGGGTTTCCTAGTTATGTTAGGAAACCAAGTTAATGTAGCCTATACAAGTATGGTAACTACTATATACATGTAATATTAAATATAGACATAATATATTTAACACTTTCATTTGCATTAAGTCTTCTCTTTCATGTATTTGGGAGGGCTTTGGTATAGTCATCCCCTCATACTTTTTTTACTTTTTCTTTAATAAAATTCGCATATATATATATACATATATATATAAATATATAAATATATAAATATATAAATATATATATATATATATATATATATATATATATATATATATATATATATATATAGTTCGGAAAAGTTCATGTTAGAATATATGGGCCAGGTGTGCAAATCTTATCTAAAACGAACCAACCCAATATATTTTGTACGTTTTTCAAAATGTTCAACTAACGCATTAAAAATGTATTTTTTGAAAAACGTATACTCTATATATACTCCTTATTAGACAAAACTAAAGAAAAAACGGATGCATGAAGCTACATTAATAATGTCATAGTGGTGCATTAATATCACAAGTTCTCAATCTACATATAAACTTGTACATTGAATAATCACCTTGGTTCCCATGACATTGGGAACCAATGTCATGGGATGACCCGGGGGCGCTCCGGTGCCCCGTTCGTAAAATTGACGATTCCTACCCCCATGACATTGGGAACCTTGCCCTTGAATAATATATCATCAATTAACACAATCTTTTACACTGCACGCACCAATGTATAGTAGCATCACTTTTGGATTCATTACCCATCCTCTTTTGTTCATTTCACCTCTACATTGTGTGTGGACCACTTCTTGTTATAATATCTTCATGCACATCAATGTCACATGTGAAATTTAAGATTCTCTATTGGTTTTTTTTTGTAAATCATCATCAAGATGGTTATGGTCTCACAATCCTTTAATTTCAACAGGAGCTGAGGAGCTGAGGAGGTCTGGGTCTTTAATTTCCAAGAGCCAAACCAAGCATGCATCTTCCATATTAGTGAGGTAAACAATACTCACTCCATCTCACAAAACATTATCCATTTTGAATAGTATTTGGTCAAACAGTTACACAATTTGACTACAAATTGTGAGAAAAAGTATACTGAATTATAATATAAATTTAATATAATTGGATTTATCTTGATATCTAGTTTTGATATATCAAATTTTTATAATATTTCTTTATTCAGATTATATTTAATTTACGGTCAAAGGGTGTAACTATTTGACCAAAAATACATCAAAATGTGTAATGTTTTCTTTGTTAAAATTTTAAATTTAAATTCATAAGACTTGTTTCTTTGTTATAACCCAAAAAAGATCTGCTTGATTTGATTTTGGTTAATAGAATTCAAATTCTAATTTCCTAATTATTTTCCTGTGCTATGGAATTCAAAATATTGAATTGAAAAAATTGGAATTAGAATTCAATTTTAATTCCACATATTTTTGTGCTACCAAACAGAAGAATTGGAATTGAAATTTTCAATTCTAATTCTATGACTTGAATTTCATATATCTAATGGAGTCTTATTCTTTTTAGTCTCTTCTATTTAATTTGGTGAAGAAGTGTTTATTTCGCCATTATTTAATTCTATAGTTACACTAATAACATCCGTTTTACTTAAACGGGCCAAGTCGCATCAAGTCATACGCCTGATCGTACTTTTAGAGGTGTGCAAGGACCGAATCGATCCCGATATTTCCCGAAAAAACCGAGAATATCAAGCCGAAAATACCGAACCGATAAAGTACTGAAAAGAAATCAAACCGTAACGAACCGAACGCTCGGTCCGGTACTTAAGAACGGTACGGGGTTACTTCACATACCGAAATTCCCGAACCGAACATATATACTAATATATTACGAAGTATAAAATAATAATCAATTTAGATTTCTTCATTAAATAAAAAAAAATTATATAGACAATTTAGTTTAATTTCATTATGTTTAAGTTGACAAAAAAATATAAAAGAAAATAAATGAAATTTGATTCTATAAATACTCTCTTCGTCACAATTTGTATTATTTGTTTCAATTTACGATATTTGATTGAAATTATTTTCAAATTATTTTATGTTGAAAATAATTCCTGGAGTATAGAATTAAAAATTACATATTAAAATACTACATCAAAACATCTTTAAAGGTACGGCCCGGTTCCATGACCACTGGATTCCAGTGGTCACGGAAGCCACTGTCTCTCTACGGAGCTCCATTCATAAAATTGATGCTTCCCCCCTAACCCCCCGGTAACCCCCCCCTCCCCCCCGCCAAGTCCCAACCCAAACTCATCGCCCACCTACGTCAATTACACCTCGTAAGCATAAAGTCAAAAGTTTTTGACTTTAAAGTCAATTATGCTTACGAGGTGCAATTGACGTAGGTAGGGGGATGAGTTTGGATCGGGATTTGGCGGAGGGTTTACCGGGGGGGTTAGGGGGTAAGAATCATCAATTCTATGAATGGAGCTCCGTAGGGGGGCAGTGGCTTCCGTGGCCACTGGAATCCAGTGGCCGTGGAACCAGGCCGATAAAGATAAGGAGTGACATAACTATTTTATTTTATCAAATGACTATAAAAAAAGAATTGAATAAAATTTAATTGTTTAAATAATATATAGACAATTTAGTTTAGGACAATAGTAAACAAACAAATTAATTTTGAAAAAATACTATATACCTTTTTTTAATTAAGGATTTAAACTTGTGCTAGTTGAGTTAAAAAGGTGGTCAACGTAGTCAAAATTGAGTCATCTGCATAGCGCATGAATAAGGCATGATCAACTCCATCCCTAATTTTGTACGATACAAATAAATAAACCTTGATCAACTAAATAAAATTACATTGTATATTAGCAGAAAAATGATTTCATTAAATTTATCTAGCATAAAAGTATCAAAAAGATTATTTAATTGTATTACAATGCAATATAAAATCAGTTAATTGATTATTAAAATTCATCAAATTTGACTTCTCAAAAGGTCAGATCGGATGATACTTTGGCACAGAGTGGAAGTAATTAATGCAGTAAATAATAAAAGAAAAACACAAGCCTGAGAGATAAGGTTTTTTTACTCATGTCACCACCCCATTATTGTATGGGACATAAGCTTCAGTCAAGTTAGCTCATGTGGATATTCATCTCAAATTACAATTCAACTCACTGCTACAACTTATCAGAACATTTTTATTATTACATGAATTTAAGAAGAACAACAAAAAAGAAAAGAATGTCCCACACTACTTACCAAAAGAAACTACACTTGTACAACCTTTAACCGATGACCCACAACACGACCGCACAACAGATTCGTCCGACTAAAGAATTTCGTTTTACTGAATGGTTTGGTTAACAAAATCAATCCTGCAGTTTGTCTTCCAGTGCAGATGGATAAAAGCAGGGTGTTTGGCTATATATACATATATTGAAGAAATGTAAGAGGACTTTTTCACTTCATTAAGTCTAAAAACACAAAGCCATTCCACAGACTGTGCAAGAGTATAGATGGCAGCAGATTCCTAGACCTAGCGTATATTATTCCCATAACGACCCCGAGAAATATTAGTGGTAACATCCTTTGTACATTAAAATGCGCCAAAGCAAAGGCAACTGAACTTACAAGAATTGAGGACGATACGGGCATGTACTTTGTCAGTGAAGGAAGAAGGAATCCCCTAAATACAATCTCTTCCCACATCGGAGCGCACACGACCAGTACTAATGCATAGAGTAACATGGCCACCGGATCTCGCGCCAGTATGGATTGCTCCACGCTAGAGAGCGTAACGGGAGTGGAGGGTAAAATGGGAAGAAGGTTGAGGTTGAGCTGTGAGAGCCGATTCACGAGTGGAAACATGAGGCAACCGAGTATGAGATCAAGAAGCCAGTTCCCTTTCATGCTGAATTTGAACCAATCACAAGGAAGAGGGCGAAATCGAGATAAGCAGCGTCGGAGGATTAATATTCCAGCAAGGCCCTCGGTTATATCGGTCAATAGGCTGAATAAAGCCTGCCCTCTAAATGTAAGCGATTCTTTATTGAAACCCATCAAGTGGGCTCCAAAAGGAATCATCCATGAACCTATAAACCAAAATGATACAATCCAAAGGAGCATAACCTGTGATACCATTGACACCCTTGTTAAAGATGTTATAGCCTATTCAATACATGTATGTGGATATCAAACAAACTCTAAATGCATCCATTGAGGGTAAAGAACACATCAAAACTCAAAAGGACTTGAGAGGTCATAACTTCAGATAAACTTGTCAAATTATCATGGAGTTGGTCAAACATAATATTAGTTCCAAAACTCCAGATTCAGATAAACTTATCAAATTATCATGGAGTTAATCAGACATATTTTAGTTTCAAAACTACGGATTCATATATTCCACCAGATATATTTATTTTATCCATGCAATTACTTATGGAAGAGTGATGGTCAACCAGTTATACACTGAAAAGTGTCTTGTGAGAAGAGGAAATTAATTGCGAAGGGAATTCCCAAATATGCAGATCAAACAAGAGTAGCACAATTATGAAAACAGCAATTCAGTCTCTAAATGGTGATGCTAAGAACTTGATTATTTTATGCAATGAAAAAGTGAAAACTAATGGGGACAACTAAGAAAACATCCTTGTTCTTTAAAAATAGTAAAATACGATATGAATTGTAACCTCATCATGTAAAAATGATGAAGAGAACCCGAAACATTCACCAAAATGCCCACTGAACTACAGTGTGTTCTAAGAAAGCATCTTTTGATGTTCATGTAATATTTGGAAATTAAGCAAAATTTAGAGCAAAAATAAAGAAAGAATTTGATAAAATTTAGGCAAAACGTATACTTATTCCTATAAGTCAACCTGTATGGCAATTTTGGTCCTGATTTTTTGGTCCTCCCCTCCCTGAAGTTGGCATGTTTTGCCATATGAAACACATATCTCACGCACTGCACCTATCCGAATTAGACTATCAAAATTGTTGAGGGTGGAAATTGACAGAAAATTTTGACCGAATGATTTACAAAAACAAATACCGCTAATATTACAGTCTTTCTAATGTTATGACTGATGAGCTACTATAGCCAGCCATTAAGGTGATTGCCAAATGATTAATTACACCCTTGCCACATGTAATAGATGAATAGTAAACTGCCCGGAAGAAGTGAAGAACAAAACATTAATCTTCAATTTACAAACTAAGATTTGCTCACAGAGATTCACACATATGCCTCCCTCTGAAAGAGCTGAAAGAGGCAAAGGGAAGGACCGGAATTGCCAAAATTTGAAAATCAGGATCGAAATTGCCACAAATGTCAGTTTACAGGACTAAATATGCATTTAACCTAAGATCTGAAAAGCCTAATGGCATGTCATATCAGGACTCTTACCTGGAAGATTGTCTCCGCCTTCCATGGGACATTCCAGGGTTCTCCAAGCACTTTACGCACTGCAGCTGGAATCTGACAAATCACATTGCAAAATGTTGAATGTATCTTAGTGATTGCATGGTTTATTAGTAGGGAAATGACTATGCAGGCTGTATGTAGAAAACAAGCATGAATGGAGCGCTTGCCTTTACGAGAAATGAAATCCAGTCCCTTTTCCCAACTTTTAAATTATTATTATTATTTGCCTCTACGCGTTCTTCAAGTAAAGCCTTCTCCATCGCATCAGGATAGGAGTCACTAGAAGAATATTCATCATTCCTAAAGCATAATACTTTCCATTCCTACAATATACAGTACAGTAATATTAACACCTGGATACAGCATTCATATCTCACACAAAAAGATGCTGTATTTCAGAAAGCTTAAATTGCAGACAATTACCCCCTTAATGAACCAATAATCGTAAATGAGAGCAAGAAAAAGTGTATCCTTTCAATTTTATGGCATACCAAAACATTGAAAAGTCATTAAACCATGAAATGTGTCACAGTAAACCAGTATATCACATTATCACCCACCGATTAGAACAGAGAAAATAATAAACAGATATTGCCTCTAAAGCAGAAGAGAAAAAATAAACTAAAAAATGAATTACAAAAAGAAGAAGAAGAGATTATTAATAAGAACTTCTGAAAATGTGTTTCTTTTGTAGCTATTAGGTCTGAAACAAATACAAGATTGTGATTGTAATGACAATAATTCTTCAAAAAGATTTTTCTAAAGTAGCCCCAAACTGGAAATAAGAGTAAATAAGGTGCAGTCCAGACATTAAGTGATTTAACAACTCATAAGTCGTGTTGCTTAGTTTGAGAATGAAGTACGAGGAAATTCACAACAAAACCTTTGCAGTGAGTATAAGACGCATAAAGAACGCAAGTTTAGGTTCAGAACAGAAACGCTGTGATACAATCCACCCCATCTAGCTGAAGATACTCGACTTTGAAATAAACTATTGGCCTGTTTGGGAGCTTGAAATTGGTTTTCAAATTTGGATTTGACTCAAATTCAGTACATGTTTGGTTTGGGAATCCAAAAAAAAAAGTTTGGGCCAAATTCCTCTTATTTCCAACAAAGATCAATTACAAATCCATGAACTCCCCCATGTAATTTGAAATCCAATAATTAAAATTTCGGAATTGAAATCTAAGAATTGGAATGAACTCCTAGTTTCCAACACTTCCTAATTTAAAACAAAGGAGAAACAATAAAAAATGAAACTTTACTGCACTGATTGGATATAGAAACCAAAAAAAAACTCAAATAAACATAAACAGATGAAAAGAGTTCACCTTTCTAGAAAACCGTTGATGGGTTTCACAGAGTCGAGGGCGCTGGGGGAGAAGAGATATGAACTTGGGACGAAAATTTGAAACCCTGAAATTAGGGATTGAAGGCGGAAGGAGATGGCGTCGAGGAAGAGAGGGAATGGAATTGGAGGCGAGCATCATCCCAATCTGATGAGTCTTCTGGTCACATGAATTCTGTGAAGAACGAAAAGCCCTAAATTTCGGAAAACAGGGACTGATCGGAATCGAAGACATACTTTTCTCGCATTCCTGTTCTTTGCAGTGCCTTCCTGTGACTTTCCCAAACACAAACCCTAGCAGCACTTCATGTCCCTTCTGGAAATACGTATGAAGCCCTGGGGCCGAGCTTCAAACTCTCTCTCTGCCACGTCAGCTTTAACTTACATTAAAAATGCACTGGAAATGGGTTTGAAGCCCCGGGGCTTCAAACCTTTATTTTTTACATTTTTAAATATACATCTTCTAAATTTAAATTAATAAATTTAAATTAATAAATTTAAATTAATTTATTATTTAAATTATTCGCAATGAGACTAGTGCATTAAAAAAATTACATTCATTAAAAAAATAATTAAAAAATTACATATAATTAAAAAATTACATTAATTAAAAACTTAAAACAAATTATATTTAGCTTTGATCTCGTTATGTCCTCTCTCGAAAGCAAATTATATTCGTTTTGGTCGTTTGACTCGAGACTGGACAAATGAACATTAAAAATAAAGAGATTCATGTTAAAAAAGATGAAAAAATTGAATTTTTTTTATTTGAAGAAGATAGAGGAAAAGATTTTGTGGGTTTTTTAAAAAAAATTGAAGAAGAAAGATTTTGTTTGTGAGTTTTATTTTTAAAAATAAAAAATTGAAGAGGAAAATATTTTGTGAGTGTTTAAAGAAAAGAGTTTTTTATAAAAAATTGGAAGAAGAAGAGCAAAACGCCCGTTATAAGTTTGACGCAAAGGCAATAACGCCCGGATGAAGCCCCAGGGGGCGGTGTTTAACGCCCCTGGGGCGTTAAAAATGCAATAACGCGGTTGGGCGTTACAGGTATTGCCACTGCCCTTAGGTGTTTCCTATTGTATTTTCACAAATAAAAATGAGGGATGCTAGGGGTACACTAAAAGTCTATCCCATAAATCACCTTCTTCGTTACTATTCATTTTTATTTATTTATTTATTTATTTATTTATTTTACATGCCAAAATATGTGGCAATGGAGGGGGTGGTGTACATTTGAGGTACACTTTTGGTATACCCCTAGCATTTTTGAATAAAAATATTACAAAATATATAAATTTATCATTTATACATTTCATCACGAGAATAAAATAATTTTAAATATTTCTTTCGTCCCATAATGGATATCACACTCCAAATAATATATAAAATTCTATCATTTTTAAAATCATTTTTATTACACCTTCCGTTATGAAAATGTTGTTCTCAGTTACTATTCATACGATCAAATTTTAATCACTTTCTTTATCTATTTCCGTTGGTTATTTGATAAAATAATATAGCCTTGTCACCTCTTGTTTTATAGAACTCTTGATGTAATTTTTAAACATATAAATTTCATTTTTTTAATTTTACACCTACAATCAAATAAATTGAATTGAAAATAAAGTCGGTCAAACTTCATAAACAAAAACGGAAAAAATGTTTTAGGAGGGAGGGAGTATAAATTTGTATAGAAATAAAAAGTATAAATTACACCGTCTCTCGTCCATAGCCTCATCTTCTTTGCTGTCTCCCTCCGTTCGCATCTTCTTTGCATCAGATTCCTATGTTTTCTTCGTCTTCTTCTTTTCTCTGTCTTCTTCTTCTTCCACGTTGAATCTTGTTTTTTGTTCTTGTTGTTGGTCGGATTTAGTTTATATGGTGTTGCAATATTTTATGGAAATTGTGGAAAAGCACCCATAAAAGGACTACAGGGGTAATATTTTATAACAGATGATTAAATATGGAAATTCTTCTTTTATAAAGAACCAATTATGAAATTTACTCAAAAATAAAACATTGAAAATATACCAAAATAAGAGTTTTATGTTTTTATTCTTGAAAGAGAAGTTAAAATGCATTTACAGTGTCAATCATGACCATATATAGTATCAAAAATATTGCAAAATGGTAATATACAATGTCACATTACCACAATGCAAATTCTTATGTCGGGGATAAAAATATAGAGCTCTTATTTTAGTATTTTTTCTATTTAGGGTGATTTCTTTTAGCTTAAAATGATTTCGGTGAGAAGCTAATCATCGCATGCTTTGCATAAAAATATTAAGGGGTATAGTTGACTACGAGTATGTTGTCTTCGTCTTATCTCATTAATTCTGATATGAACTTATTAAGTTCTGATATGGTTTAAATTTATTTGATCTGGTATGAAATTATCTTATCTAATCCGAATGTAGTATAATTTAAATATGTGGTTGATCTGAACTTATCTGAAAAATTAAGTTAAACAAGCCTACGAGCATGATGCACCCATTCCATAGTATAAATATCATTTTTAGAAAAAATATTTGCCTCAAATACATTTTTCTTTTTTATAAAAAATGTAATATGTGACGCATAATCTCTCTATAACCCCTTAATCAATTCCAACCATTTAATTTTTATTTTATTATATTTATCTAAATTCCTATCAAGTCATAGCATAAAGTTTATTTCAGACAAGGAGAGTGTTTCCGGAAGACTTTTCTTTCTTCACCAAATATCTTGACCCGGGGCACGTTACATTGGTATTCAATGTCATAGCATGACCCGAGCATCTGCGGTCCTCTATTGAAAAAAATGTTAGTTTCTACCCNACTATAGTGATATACCCATAAAGTTGTATGTTCACCTGCTTCCCCGTTCGATACTATACTTGGTCGACCTGAAATTGATGGGGAAAAAACTGCATTGGAATTTGGCTCGATGTTTACCCGACCCTTGACACAAAACCTTAAATGAACCCTACCAAAATCGTCATTAACTTAACCCACCAAACCGACCCAACTAAACTTGTTACACTCCGGTCCCCACCCTAACCGTAAGTGTCTGATCATAGGATTGTAGACTGGCCCCACGAATCAACACAAGTCTTTCCCGCACTCTTTGTGCTCACTCGTGTGCGCCTAAGGAAACTTCTCAGGGGGTCACCCATCCTAAAATTGGTCCAGGCCAAGCACGCTTAACTTTGGAGTTTTTAGGTGATGAGCTCTTGAAAAGAAGATGCACCTTATTTGTATGAGTAGTATTATCAATCCTTTTGAACTCTTCACATTCTCATCTTATTACGGGGTATTACAAAACTTCAACCAAACATGACCCAACACAGACTTAACCTAAACCGAAGTTCATTGAACTGAACTCTGCCCAAACCAAACTCAACTCGAAACAAATCAAAACCAAGATGTGTTTACCCATGTTCACCAACCTCATAGTACACCCAACCCGTACTCGTCTCGAACAGCCCATTTAGAAAACTCATTTATTTACTACTTTATTATTATTATTATTAATATTATTCTCATCACTATTATAACAAATGAATATAAGTGTACAATTTGCAGTATATACAGTTAGTTTAGATTTAAATTTTAAAAATAAAAGGGACAGTTATGGGTAGTTATTTCTGGAAGTTATAGGTAATTATTTCTGGAAGTTGTATTAGTTGGTAATAGATGTGTTGATTAGTACCAATAGTTGTGTTGGTTGTTGTCTATAAATATTCCAGGATTTCTGAATTCCTGAATGGTACACATCAATAAAATATTCTACTTTGCTTTGATATGGTCCTATCTGACAATTGGTATCGGAGCGAAAGTCCAATAAGGACCCAACGATCCTCGACAACAGATCAAGAATCTTCAACAAAATTCTTCCTCGCCTAGGACAAAAATAACAGGTGGCTAGTTTTTTCCTTTGGCAGAAGGATTCCAACCAAACAGCCTGGAAAAAACGAATCAGCGGGGTAGCTTTCGTTTAGTGGCTTGGAAGACGGAAAAGTAGGGGCTTGTTTTCTGGTTGATGGTCGATTGAAGGTGGCTTACGACTTGGGAAGGAATCGAAGTTAAGAATTTTGTAAAATTTGTCGGAGGAATAAAAGTCGTGCAATGGAAGAACACCAAAAATAGACAGATTGTGACTACAAGGGAGAATAGATAACAGTTTGCCAACCTTAACCCGAGGAAGGAGATATGCAAGGTAAACTACTACTCACTAAAAGTGATGGAAACGAGAAGGTCAAGGAGCACAAAACTGAGCATTATGGTTGCTGGAGCTCAAACCGAGAAGACTTTGGACGTGGCCGAGGTAGAGGTCGAGGGTTCGGGATAGTGGTCGGTTTCAACGGGATAAGAGTCACATTAAGTGTTTCAAGTGCAATGAGTTAGGGCATTTTTTGAACAAATGTCCAAAATGGGATCAAAAGGAAAACATTGCAAATTTGATTGAAGATGATGATGAACCAACGTATTGTGAAGATTGGTGTGAACAAACAACGATTAGGGGGGGTGATTGTTAGATTTAATCGTAGTGTTTGATTCCTGGTCAAAAGTTAGTTTAGATTTAAATTTTAAAAATAAAAGGGACAGTTATGGGTAGTTATTTCTGGAAGTTGTATTAGTTGGTAATAGATGTGTTGATTAGTACCAATAGTTGTGTTGGTTGTTGTCTATAAATATTCCAGGAATTCTGAATTCCTGAATGGTACACATTAATAAAATATTCTACTTTGCTTTGATATGGTCCTGTCTAACAACTTCACATGCCTACTTTCCCCAGTTATATTTCCTATATCTGAATGTTTTAGAAGTAAACCTCTCAAAGAAAGGCAATTGAGCAACCAAACAGAGTTGTTGCTCTACATAAACAAAGATATGTGGGATGGGTACACAAAACAATGTACATTATATTCCAGATGGCTGAACACCAAATAAATTCGATCTTAGCTGCACATTACCTTTTGACATGAAAATTATTTTCGTTTTTGGTTTCATCTACGCCGCCTATGAGTGACCAAGTCTGGATTGCCTTTCCTCATCATGGCCACAAACTCATCATAATTGATTCTCCCGTCCTGCATTCAATAAAGCTCTTATTCGTATAATTTATTATGAAAAAGAGTATCATCCAACATGTGGGGAAAATATAATTTTTTTGCCCGTGCTTTTCCTCTCACGAGTTCACTGTCACACACTGCACTCCATATGCAGATTCAGGGACCGTACGTCTGAGCTGTTTGTGTTATTGCTATTATGGCAAGTGTCAAGAAATTTTGGATACTGGGTGTTCATTTGAGTTGTTTCTGTTGTGATGCAAAATTAATTATAAGGGCATTTATCTATAAAAAGAAAAAGAAAAGGA